GCTTCCCCCCACCCTCCTCAAACTCAACATCAACAACCCTCCCCCCACCAATCCCACCAAAAGCAACATTCGGCGTCCCCCTCTCCCTCCAGCTCTCGCGCGACAACACCGAGATCCCGCCCATCCTCCTCAAGCTAACAACTTTCATCGAAAAGTACGGCCTGCGCTCGCAGGGCATTTATAGGTTAAGCGGTACAATGAGCAAGATCAACAAGCTGAAGGGGCTATTGGACGAGGGATTGGATAAGGTCGATCTGGATAAGGACGAGTGGCGCGGCGACGTCAATAACGTCGCGAGCGCGCTGAAGGCGTGGTTCAGGGAGCTGCCGGAGGGCGTTATGACGGATGGGCTCAGGCAGGGGTTCTTGGATGCCGCCGGTGCGTCTCTTCTTCTCTTTTTGTGATACTGCTCTCGAGCTGGACGGTTGATGGATGTGGCAGCGATCGAGAACGACAGGCTGCGGCATATCCGGCTGCACGAGCGCGTGAACGACCTGCCCGACGCGAACTACGCGACGCTCAAGTTCTTCCTCGGTGCGCCCTCTTGCCTCTCCCTCTCTCCCTCTTGCCTCTCCCTCTCTCCCTCTTGCCTCTCCCTCTCTCCCTCTTCCTTCCCTTCCCCTCCTCCTTGTGCGCTTCATTCGACGTTGGAGCTGACGCTCATGAACAGGCCACCTATCCCGCATAACCGCCCACGCATCCGAGAACCAAATGTCCGTCTCGAACCTCTCCATCGTCTTCGGGCCCACGCTCTTCGGCTCGCCGGCGGGAGGAGGCGGCGGCGGGAACTTGGTACTGCAGAACAAGGTGCGTGGCGCGTCGTATCTCCAGACCGTTCTCGACTAACGACTTCGTTGCACTCTTTCTCACGGTAGGCGATCGAGACGATATTGGAGCATTACGCGGATATATTTATCGATGAGGGCGAGGGCGAGCAGCCGGGACCGAACGTGCCGGGCGGCGCATAGGAATCTCCCTTCCCTAATAACATCTGACGCGGAATTGGAATCGGAGATGTATCGCGGCGCCGCATATGGAACGGACGCTATACTCATCAGACTCACCCCTTGTACTTTCTGCCAACCCCACCAACCCCTTCCTCATTACGACTCGACTACGTCGTCCGGGACGGCCATGTTATCGCTACCCACCTCATCGCTAAGCTAACGCGCCACCCCACCCACCCACGAATCGCTTTCGCTTTCGCCTTCTTACATTGTCATATTCTTATTGTTTTCTCGCAATTTGTATACCATGCATCCTCTTGCCTGTTTTGGCTCGGACTCGAGCTCTTTAGTTTCATCACGCTTGACGCTGTTCGTTGTTTGTTCTATCCGGAATGATGCGCCTGACCGTCGCCTACGTATGTTTAATTTTCGGATCTCACTACGGCAGTGGGTCTCGACTCTAGTGGCGTTTTCGTGCGTCTCGTGCTGTAATGCTCGGCTATGTGAATCGGCTTGTACAGCAAGACGAAAGAGTACGAGCGGTGAATAAGGACAGTATCGTGAATTGGAGTACTAGTACCAGAGTGACCGTTCGGAATGGATATCGATCAGCCGACGATACACAGACATGATACCTATGGGCCTAATACGGCATCACGTACGCCGGCGCTTCAGGTCTTGTTGTGGAAGTGAATACATGGAGTCAACCCCAGCCGGACAGTCCACGTCCGGGTCGTTCGCCTCCCCATCCACATCAACATCCATACCCTCATTCCTCACTGCCGCTCCCCTCGCATCCACATCAACCGTGCTTGCAAACCTCTCCATCACCCCATCACCCCCAGCAGCTGGGTTCATCCCCATCCTCGCCTCCAAAAGGCGCTCCCAGCTCTCGCGGGGCAAGACCTCGCGCATAATATCGCCGTCCAGCGCGTAGGGCGCGCCGCGAGGGAGTGACAGGTCCAGTAGATCTTTGTACACCGACCGTTCTTGAGCGTCGTCGGCGATGATGCCGGAAGAGTCGTGCGTGAGGCCGGCGAGCCAGATATCAAAGGTGTCCACCTTAGACTTGGATTCAAGTGGTCCTTCTAGAGTCGGTGTGCGCGGGGGCGGGGCACGAACGTGGACCGCGGCGTGTTCAGAAGCCAGCGCAAATACGAGGCGGATAACGGGCACAGCCCGATTCTGCGCATCCGCGAACACGCGCAGTCCCTCCGGATCCATCGCGTCAAACACGGACTCCCTCACCCCACCTCCGTCTCCCGGCGTCGTCCTATTCGTAACCTGGACCATAATAACCCCCGTATCCTCCGACCGCCCGCCATCCCCCATCGTATACGGCACGAACATCGCAACCTCATCCCGATGCCTCGCGCACACGACGCCGGCCCCGCGCGCGAGATACGCCCACAAACACCGCTGGTCGAACACGTCTCCGTCGTCGACGTGGATCCAGTGGTTGAACCACATCCGCGCTGCGCCAAAGACCTGCCGGAGCGTCTGGCTCCTCTCATCGCCGTTCGAAGGTTTGAGAGCACGCTCTCGAGCGCGGCGTCCGGGACGAGCGCGGTCAGAAAGTCGACGACCGACACCGTGCGGGCCCAGCCGTCGCGCGATGGGTCGGGGGGCGCTAGCGAGGTGCCGGGACCATAACGCGGGCGCCTCCTCCGCGCCTCGTACACAGCAAGCAGCAGTATCAGCGCGCCGATGACCTCCCCGCGCTCGCCCAAACTCACGCCCGACCGCTCGGCATGTACCAACAGCGCCCTCGGCAGATCCCAGCGCCCAGAAGCCATGGTACAGAGGAACGCAGAGTACGCGCCCTCGGCGAGGAGCGGCTCCGAGGGGACGAACGTGCCGAGCTCGTGCGACGCCGGGCGCACGGAGAGGATCATGCGCGTGTTGCGCTCGGCCAGCTGCTGCTCGGCCCCGGAGCGCGGGTCGTATAGCCCGGACGTGAAGTGGAGGCCCAATGTCTGCGAGAGGGCGGAGAGCTGTTGGAGGGTCTTGTCCGTCTCGGGCGCGGTCGGCAGTGGTTCGCCGCAGAGCAGCTTGAGGCGGGCGAAGTAGACAGTCTGTACTGCTTCTTGGCGTCCTACTGTTTCCTGGGCATTATGTAGAGCGCCGAACCTGCGTACCTACATTAATACGGTGACGATGGGATGGGAGATGTAAGGGCACGTACAACGGTCTCCCAAGCCGCGCGATGCGCGCAGTCGACGCTATGCGCTCAAGCGTCCACGACCCATCATTGGGCACCACGTCCGCGAGCACATCAAACGGGACGATGCAAACGGGCACGGTGGGCCGCGGATGGACCGGGAAGAATGAGCCGGGCAGCGCGCGCTCTGGCTCTGCGACGACGCCGCCGGTCGCGAGCAGAATCGCTGTGTAGGGCTCGTCCTTCAGGAGACGCATGACGCGCCGGAACTCGAAGAGTAGCGTGTATTCAATGGCAGCGTGGGTGGACGGTATGAAGCGGCGGGCTGAGTCGATGCTGAAGACGACCCAAGGGCCCGACGGGAAGGCGCCTTGACATATGGTTTTGAGCCACTTCATCAGGGCTTCGCTTGCTCTGACGAGCTCTGACGTAGAGTCTGGCCGATCACATATCAGCGGCAAGTTAGACTTGTCAGGTGCAGTGAGAGCATGCCTTTCCGATCGACATTGGGTGGGGCCGTGAAGTCCTTATGCTCATTCGCTTTGATGAACTGTAGTCGACGACGACAATAAGTAAGAGAAGGCAAACGGAGTGCAAGATCATACCGTGCCTGCAAGCCCTACAACCTCCTTCCAGAACTCCTGTCGAAACTGTCCGTGCGCATCAAAGGTCCCTTCATTCATTCTCTCAGAGAAGATGGATGCGAGCTCGATGAACGAGCACCCGTTTGCGTCTGGTTGGGGATGTTGATGTTGAGCCATGACTATAAACTATGCGGCGAGATGTCGAGCGCTCACCGTCGTGTAGCTCCTGGAGCGTGACGAGCAGGTGCTTGAGAAGACCGACGAAGAATCCGTGGAGTCTCAGGTGCACCGCTCGAGAGCGCTGTTGCGCTGGCTGATTATCCAGCAGTACTCTTTGACACTCGTCGAAGAACTGCTGGACGGTCGTATCGGGAGGAGGGTAGCCACCGCCTTGACAAAGGTCAGCCCACGTGATCGGTACTGTAGCAGCGCGAGTTCAGCGTACTTATACTCGTGCTCGGTGGCGATGCGACATTCATGAGGACGACAATAGCGTGCTGCTTGAGCTCCTTCACCGTCCTAGATTTTCCTGTACCAGTAGACTGTATGTAGGTGATGACATTGCCGTAGTATTCGGCGCGTCGCTCGTGCAACCAAAAGGTGCAGATGTCATAGAGAACCGAAGCGGCGTCGCCCCTGTATGGTTCGTCCCAGGCACGGCGTACAGCTGTATTGCGTTCAGAGAGGAAGGCGGCCCTCCGCGACGCGATGGACTTACCTTCTTTGCTTCTGGCTATAGAACCCCCTTCTTGCTGAGCTGCACTCTGCGGCACCACGATGGGTGGGCGTATCTCAGACCTCCCTCTCACTAGACGATTCCCGATGTCAGACTTGACGTCGTCGAGAGCAAAAGTGAAAACGCACACCAAACGAGCATGGGTTCAAAGTCCAGCCGCTCGACCATCTGAGCATGAGCTTGCACGAACCCGGCATCTTTTTGAAGGATCTCCAATAGCTTGCGTCCGCTGTTCGCAGTAGGAAACATCTCCTTGATTTCTGCACGAAGCGCGCCATAGGCGAGAAAAGAACAGGTGTCTACATGCTCAGGAGAACCAAGGGAGAAGCCGCGCATGAAACGAGATATGTCCTTGACCTTCTCGGAGTCTACATTTAATACTACCATGGCGGGAACGGCGTTGTCGCTTGAGGGTGTTATGGAAGCAGGACGGCACTTGTCCGTTCAGGGGCCAGCAGTGAGACTGGCGGCGGTAACGCCACACGCGGCCTACTTCTCACGCCTCGTGCGTCGTCCAGCGAAGAGAAGGCGGACCGCGGCGGCGCAGAGTCTTGAACGATGCGGCTAGTACGCAAAGTAGGGTTGTCGAAGTCTGAACCCGGGGTGCGACACCCGTAAACTGGAAAAATGGAGATAGAAGAGCCCGTCCGGACGACAATTTCTTCAGATTCAGAGGAACTGGTATACATTGTCGCAAGCATAAGTCGTATATGGAAGGTATGATGATGCAGGCGAGCGGCGCCCTGCCAACTCATCGTGGTCCTGTCGAAGACGACGGTCGCCAACAAGGCGCGTCTCCCTCGGATCAAATGTGTGCGAAGTTCGGCCTCGGAGGACGTCCACCTCGGCGCCCCCGAGCTTAGCGGTGGGTGCACACTGCACAACGACCACGACCTATTGAACCTGCCTCTTCCCCTCTCCTCCCCACTTTTCACCCCGCTTTTTTCTTTCCTCTTATTTCACGTCCTCGTGTCGAGACTCGAACGCATCTCCGCTGGCGCGGAACCGTTCTTTTGATCGTCTACTGTGGGCCTTCGTGTTTGCTCTGCTCTTTTCGATACCTACCTGCGCTCGGACGTGCTCGCCTACTATTCAAGTGATCCTTAGTGTACTTTGGTGTACGTAGAGTTCAGAGATTCGTGTTGGTACCCAACCTCAAGGTTGACAAATGAATTCCACTTTCGTGTTCGTGAGCAATTGCGCATGTAAAGCGCGTTGGCGATTCGCGATCGTGGCTGATAGTAGACTAAGACGCGTGCAGATAAAGAGAGGAGAGACCTGTTTGATCCGATTCGCTACCGTAATAGCGGTAGGTATCCCACCCGGGGTGGCTATGTGAACACCCCCGTGGACGTCGACCTCAAACGGCAGCCCACGAATGACTGGAACGGATAATCACATATGCCCTACATCCTACAAACTAGCTGCGCAGTTCAGGTGCGCGGCATAAGCATGATTAGTGCGAGTACAGCGCCCAGGTGTCTGGCAGACCTCAAACGTATCCTCTCAAGCCGTTCACCTGGATCAGTGAATGAACTTGGCGTTCACGGCAAAGCTGCAACGCCGCTAAGGACGCACTCGTGCTCATGCGACCGTGGCACCCCGTAATCGTCTGAGAGCCTGCTGACGGACAGACCGCGTTGTTCGGTAGTCTCAAGCCGCATTCAGCGCTTTTGGTGGCCCTGATGTCCACGAAAGACGGGCGGAGCTCGAAGAGAGGTACACGCAGGATCGGTATCAGTGGCTTGCAATCTGAAAGTTAACTGATTGATAGTGCCGTATGGGACCCTGTACGATTTTATAACCCGATTATGCACGCGACGAAGATAGACTATCAACAGACCAATCAAGTCCTTCCTCATAGTCTTGAGTAGTGCTTACTAGACTCTCGCCGAAGCGGCACGTACCGTTAGCGATCCACCCAACACGCGGGTGTACGCTCCCGAGAGGTGTTGGGAAAGTGCTGAGAGATATGTTGCCAAGTGGAGACTTCTACGTCCACGGTCCGTAGGGTGAGATGGTGGTCAAAGCTTGAAATGGCAGGGACTCCTCTAAGCACCGTCGGCTATACCCGACCGGCTCTCACCAGTCCAACCTTTCGGTACACGCTCCCTCCATCCGTTAAGCGCCGCGGACATCTTATTCCATTCTCATCCATAACATGTGGTATGAAATCAAAGGTCGTTTGCGTCCGAAATCCCAAGGAAAGAAACAGAAAAAACAAGAATTATACATCGTACAACGTCCTTTGCACTGTCATGAATGTGTCCATAGTCCCTTATCATTCCTAGACCATTCTGTCTTTGACGGAAACACGACGCGCACAAGTTGTGGGCATGCTTCAGCCCACGAAGTGCTCAGATGCAATTCCTCGGCCTCAGAGCTATTCATCGTGCCCAGATCGACCGAGCTGGTGGGCGACAAGTCGAGAAACTGCAGCTCGCGAAATACGCCGAGCGCGGGTGTGAGTGCTGCTAGCAAACGCTATCGCGCATATCAGTACGGGTATATGCGCGCGGTGGGTCGATCCACTTACGATGCCGGATAGCGCGTAGTGCAGAGTGTGACGTAGAGCTAGGCGGACGCGCAAGGCACGGATAGCGGGCAATGCCCGCGCTATATCTCGCAACAGTGTCGGTGTAACGCTCATGCCCGTAAGATCGAGCGCCACGACGGGCACACTTGTCGTTCCGAGTGCGACCAGGGCAGCCTCGCCAACGAACTCATATCCGACGAGTGCCAGACTCTGCACTGGTCGTCCAGGCAGGAGAGAGGCGGCTGCCGCGGGTGAACCGCGGAACGACGCCAGGGCGGGCAGGTCAGACGGCGCGAGCTGCAAGGGCATGTGGTAATCTGGTATGCGCAGATGGAGAAGACCCGGGTGATTGTGTAGAAAGCACTCAGGCGCTCCGCGGAGGCCTGAGAGCCAAAGAATGCGTAGATTCGGCATGAAACACTTGCTTAGTTTCGACGCCAGAGGCGGACATTTGGCCACGCTTCCCAGGCCCAGCGCCAGCTCCAGCGATTCCACGTTGACGAGTCGGGGCAGCAGCGCCGTGACCATCTCCTGCGCGATAGCGAGTAGTAAAGATGGCGTCGTGTCGGGCTCAATTTCGGGCTGCCATCGGAGGTGGAAGCGGCGCACCGACTCGGCCAGATGTGGATGTGCGGACAAGGTTTCACAGACGCGTAGGGTCAGCGGAGGAACGCCATGTAGAGTCAACCCTTTGTAGGGCTCGCGTGAGCGGCACACGATAGGCTCGCTGATGACCACAGAGGCGTACAGAAGGCGCTCGGCGGGGTCGCGCCAACGCGAGCAGACGCGCGCAAGACGCGTGAGCGCGTCCTGTGGCATGCTCTCAAAAATTGCCGACACAATTTCATTGGGCAACGTCGTCGCCGGAGATAATGATGCCGGTGCCGCATGCGCAGGTGGCTGTAACCGCTGGAGCAAAGCAATTGATGAGCGCAACACGAAGACATGGAAGGAAGGGGAATAAGCATTTCGCCGAGGGTCCTCCGCGCGGGAGAGCACGCACCGTTGCGTGCAAGGTTGGATGAGCCATGGTTGTGGAAGGAGAGCGGATGGCGATAGCGAGCACGAGGGAGGGTAAGGGGATGCGTCGGGCGTCGCCGCTCGACTAGATATCCTGGCTCGGGAAGACTTCGCAGATTGCAGGGCCTGCAGGCAGACGCGAGAACGCAATCGCGCAGCGGAGTAACTTCGCTGACGAAGCGCACCATCTTGCTAGCTTTCAATTCGTGCTCTACTCGCACGGACGCGCACTATCTCCCGAATGTGGTGGATCGTCGAACGTTGCCACTCGAGCGCGAGAGCTCTCTTTCCTCATAAAGAGGTCCTGACGACAGCAGTATGTACAGGTACAAACTAAGTAGCCGGAACCGAACGAACTAGAGTTTCTCCTATAAGCAGGGAAAGCGGCGGAAGCGTAAAGTCGGCTGACCTTAAAGCTAGGCGCATGGATATATGGCTGCGGTACAGCACAAGACAGCATATGTTTAGCGAGAGTGGCTGAATGCCGTAAGAACGAGGCTGGAAGGTTATGAAGTAATTAGCCGTTCGAGTATGCACATGAGTCGTGCAGTGACACACACCCAACGCTGCATCCGGCCATAGCGCCTATCAGTGTCCCATGTCTTGAGTACATATATGCCGAGTACACTGTACAACGACCAGTCCCGATATTGGCGCGTTCAGGGCAGATCGACGACCGTGATCAAGTGGATCGAGGTCGAAGGCTGGTGTTCCGTATGCAAGCTTCACGAGTGCTATGTGCTCGCGCACAAGCTGCTATGTTGACCTTGGGCACGCCCGATACACCGTCTCAGCGGGACGCGCGTCCGTAGCGATTGAACAAAAGGTACGAAACGACCTTTGGATGACGATTAGCTACGTTGGTTCGTTCAACATGAGATTCCGAGAGCTTAGCGTACGTGGGTAAATGCGAGGTGACGGTCTATTCATGTTCGGAATGCCCAGGTACGACTTCGTCCCGGCACGCCCGAGGTCAGGCCAGGTTCAGGTCCGCCAACAGTCGCGTATATCGAAGCGTCAAGTGTATGAGGTCAACCAGGGGGAGGAGCCGCAGAAGACCGTGGACAGACCGAGACCACGCCAGGTCTCCCCGAAGACGCAGCGTATTGGACATATGCGGGTCAGCGCTCTAGGTCTGCTGATGGTTTGCGCGCACGACATTGCATTGCAAGAAGAGCGCCGTCATCATTCGAGAGCGCTCGAAGGTGGAGTCGACGCAATGGCTCGAGTTGGCTCGAGTAGACGCCGAGGGAAGATATGGTGGTGGTGGTGGTGGTGACGGTCGGAGGCGAATCCTTGCATCAGTCTCTGTTTCTTACCCGAGTGGCGCGACGCGGCGAGGCGGAGCATTCATGAAGCAATTGGCCATGGTAGCCGCATCTTTCCCTAGAAATATTACATACAGCGCTCAGACGTCCGAAGCAAGAGTACTAGTGCTTCAGATCGAGTAGGACGCGGCGAGGTACCAATCGTACACCGAACTACACAGAGGTGCGCTTGTCAATCGTGAGGGATAGTACAAATACGAATATAATGCGGGGTTTGGGTTCGGGAAAGGACCTGATAGGAAGGATAGCGAAGGATAAAGCAGAGTGCATAACAGCGAAGGGTCGTACTACTGAGTTCTGTAGCAGCGAGAGGTCGTGCCGTTGGGTGTCATAGAATACAAAAAGACAACACTTCCAGACATGTACACATCACGAAATGCCAAAAATCACATCTGAAAGATAAAGAGTTGAACGAGGGTATAAGTCACAACTGTTCGTGAGCTTCGTATGGAGGTTAATCGGAATCCGAGTCTGTAGACAGCACAGGAAGAGCAGGATTTGGCATCAGAAAGCGGTTCGGGTTGACATGGCAGCGCAAGAGGTAGTCCTCCGGCGCCTTGGGGTCTATGAGATCGCAGGTCCGAGAGGTGATCGTATGAACAAAGTTGTTCTCAACCACGGTATACCCGGCCGAAAGCTTATCGTCCCGTACACGCTTATAGAGACTCTGAGTTTGGTCGATGACCATCCCACTCAGACCATAGTGGTCCCTGTAGTGGAAGAACGCTGTAACGAACTCGAGCGCTGGGTGGTCCGCGAAGAGTTTCCTGGCGTAAAGTCCGAACTTGGCGTGGCGGTGCAGACGCCGGCGAGGTTCCGCTGGACCGCCCTCTTCATCGTCGTCGTCGCCGTCATCATCATCTTCCGACTCATCCTCCGACTCGTCCGACTCGACATCATCGCCCTCCATGTCCTCATCGTCCAGGTCCTCCATGTTGGCAATGCCGTACACGTCCTGCGCCCATACAAATGTCTTCAAATGCGGAAGATGATCGCAGATCATGGTGCGCAGCTGTGCGTTGTCGCGAGGGGTGAAGAACTGGTAGTCGATAACGCCGAAGAGGAGCAAGTTGGGAACGGACGCGATGAACTCTCGCACGAGTTCGGGCATGGGCGTGAACGCACATCTTTGGATGCTGTGGCGGGAGATGACGAGGCTGGTGAGTTGGCTTCCGATGAACCGTGGGCCGATTGCGGCACCCAGCTCGCGCTCGGGCTGAAGGCAGACGATGCGAAAGGTGAGGTGTCGCACAGCAGGAGCATCTCCGACGTTTTGGAATGTTTCCAGGATGCCGGCGCCAGCGTCCAATAGTTCGCATTTGGGCAACATGCCCGGCATCACAAGGCGTTGTTCTGGCGGGGCGGTGCCAAAGCTCAGATCAGCGTCGCACTGAAACTTGCGAAGTTCTGTTTGCTCGAGTAGGATCTCCTCCAGTTGTGGACACCAGCGGAAGCTGGTCACCCACGTCCGCAGACGGAACGGCATACCCTTCATTATGAGCGAGCCGTCGGACACAAGGAGTTGGTGGCGGCAATGGGAGTATCGTTCTCTCAGGGTCTCTAGATTGGGCATGATCATGAACGCCCGTCTAATGATGTCGAGGTGTTCGGGCGTCCCGGGCGCATCTTGTGCCCAGTCCACGTACAGTGCGCGAATGTGCCTTGCGCGCCACGGAGTTGCCAATAGGGCGCTCGCAAAGTCGACGAAGTGGCCGTCCGCGATACCGAGATCGCGGAAGAAGAAGCGGTCGGCCTCGTAGTTCCATGCTCGCGACACGAGCCGTAGATTTCGCCAGAGAACGTAGTAGCCCGTATACTGGTCGATGTTCTCCAAAATCAATTGAAATAGCTCAACAGGCACGTAGAACTTCAGAGGCCCCGGGGAGTAAGTGATGGGTGGCGAGTCCGTCCAGTAAAACTCTTGCGGGGAAAGTCTAGCAGGTAGATTCTGATCGCACGTGAGGATACATCCGGTGTGGGCGTTGTGTGATACGCACCATAGTCGTGCCCGATATCGATGTCTCCGAGTACGGCAATTGAGAGCTGTCCAAAGCAGGGACTGTAGGCTGCTTTGTATGAGCGCGCAATCTACGGGTACTCTATCTGTACACACCTTCTGGCTATGATCCTCGACTTTGGATAGATCAGCAACGAGAGTGAGCTCGGATGGGTTGGCGACGTCACTGCCTGACTTGTTGAGTCAAGAGAACAAGGGCGATCATAAATTGAGCGCACCTGGGACGCAGGCGAAGAGGCGGGCGAGGACGCGGAAGGGGCAAGAGACAACCCTTTTCAACGTGCCGGCAGGTCGCTCTCTTTTGTCGTGGACATCGCGGACACCGGTACGCTGGCTGCCTAGCCATCGTCCGGGACAGATTCGCGTCGGCCAACCGAGCATTTGATATCTCGTGGCGAACGCGGACGAGGAGTCCACCCAGACGGCCACCGAGCGCCTGATGGTTGTTCGCACCACATGCTCGGCTCTCCCCCAGAAAGGGCTATTCCTCACACACTAGTCCGACAAGGTCGGGGAGACTGTCGTGAATGCGCCGGCGTGGTCGGGGTCGATATGCCAATTCAGCAAGCAAGCCCATGGGCTCTCAGAGGGGTTGTTGTCCGAGCCATCAACAAGACCAGTTCCAGCGCATGGGCAGAAAACGGTAGGTGAATGAAGAGACCAGCCACCAGGGTCGATTTAGAATTTGGAACAGCTGGCTACGGATAATCCCGAAGAAGCTGTTCGGCGACGTTGTTCATCAAGGCAGGAAGCAGCTCGGTCGCTGCCGGCAGATGCTGTTCGGCCCTCGGGTCAAGGGTTCCGTCCACTCTTCGTCATCGATGATAAAAGACAGTACGCTGGATCGCAAGTTCAACAGTACTGTAGTACTGTAGATATATCGGTGACCAGGCTTGCTGGCGAGTGCAAGACACTGACATAGACCTCTCTTCCAAATAATTGGTCTTCAACGATAGAACACCTCCAACTCAGAACTTGCAGTATTTCGACCGAAGGGTATCACGAAGAGGACAGATGAATGTATTGTCTCAACAAATGTGCGTGTAGTGATGCGAAGTAAGAGAATATAAAAATACAATAATGTACAGAGACCCGACAGTCAAACAAAGCGAGGCGACAGAATGATAACACAAAGCTCATGCACCGAAACCGTAGAGGGTACGGCCGGAGCGCTTGAGCGCGTAGACGACGTCAAGTGCGGTGACAGTCTTGCGCTTCGCGTGCTCGGTGTATGTTACGGAGTCGCGGATGACCTGGTGGTTGAGTCAGCGAGAAGCTCGTAAACCACAAAGACAAGCAACTCACGTTCTCAAGGAAGATCTTGAGGACACCACGGGTCTCCTCGTAGATGAGACCCGAGATACGCTTCACACCGCCACGACGAGCGAGACGGCGGATGGCGGGCTTGGTGATACCCTGGATGTTGTCGCGGAGAATCTTGCGGTGACGCTTCGCGCCGCCCTTGCCGAGACCCTAAAGTACAAGTCAGCTCGAGTGCTTGAAGGCGAGCTATAAAGTAGAACGTACCTTGCCACCCTTTCCACGGCCAGACATGATATGAGAGAAGAGTTGGTGAAGGTGAAGAGTGCGGGTAGAGTGATGGTGCGCGGTGGCAGCGGCGGTAGTGGGAGGAAAGAGAGTGCGTCGGGCGCCTTTGAGTGCCGCGGCGGAAGCGATCACCTGACCCCGTTTACCGTTCTCACGAACCGAAGCATATAATCGGCGCGTCTTCGAGTCTGACCAAGTCCATCATCCCGCCCACCCTCCGCCCATCAACGCGCCACCCACCCTCCAACTCTATCACTCGCAATGGCCCGTACCAAGCAGACCGCCCGCAAGTCCACCGGTGGTAAGTCGCCTTCGGAGTTTCTCGACTTCAATCACTTGTACTCACTCTTTACTCAGGCAAGGCGCCCCGCAAGCAGCTCGCCGCCAAGTCCCAGGCGCGCAAGACCAACGCCGCAGCGGCGACCGGTGGTGTGAAGAAGCCCCATCGCTTCCGCCCTGGTACCGTCGCCCTCCGCGAGATTCGTCGCTACCAGAAGTCGACGGAGCTCCTCATCCGCAAGCTGCCCTTCCAGCGTCTTGTCCGTGAAATCGCACAGGACTTCAAGGTTAGCCGTTTTACATACATTATCACTCTACAAGTACTTACCATTGCTCTGCAGACCGATCTTCGCTTCCAGTCCTCTGCTGTCATGGCCCTCCAGGAGGCGGCCGAGGCATACCTCGTCTCGCTCTTCGAAGACACCAACCTTGCCGCCATCCACGCAAAGCGTGTCACCATTCAGCCGAAGGATCTCGCATTGGCTCGCCGCCTCCGTGGCGAGCGCACATGAGCTTGCACCCTTCGTCTCGTTCTCCTGTATTCCCGCTTTTACTTTCTGGCTTTGGACTGTATTACTATTGTACTTTGGCATACTCTACCCGTCCTGTCTCCTTGCATATATCGATAATGCGACACTCCGGTGATCCACCAAACCACTGCGTGAACCGCCCGATATCGGACTATGAATGTTGTCCTGTCTGTTACCGATCAACGTGACGGTGACGTGACCTGGCGTGTCGTACACCCGATGGCCTCGCGTGGTTTGCTTTCAACCACAAACAACGACGCGCCAGTTGTTTGCGTCCTTGGCCAACCACAGGTTTTTCCACCGTTGCAATGAAGTCTCGTCTTGTTTCATCACCCGTAAAGGGACTTCGGAGACTCGTATCATGTCGCAAGAAGGCCATGATATCGTTGCCCGAAACGCGTCTGTTCCTGCCGGTCGGGCTACTTGAATGGCGTTGACAAAAATCAGTCTTACCTACGCGACCGACTGAATGGAACTCCGGGAAATGTGACGTGATACAAGATGAATGTCGACCATTGATACCCCAATCCCTATGTGATGCGTGCGTATACAATCCTGAATGTGATGCTAGTAGATGCTAATGATATATCGGGTATACTCTCCAGATTACTGTCCCTGTGTCTCCTATCAATCAATCCCCTCCAATGCGCGAGCGTGCCCCATGGCACCCGTATCCACGAACTGTACCGCCCGCTCGCGCTTCAGCATTATGGCGGTCAGTTTGTTTCAAAATTCGGGGTTCATTTCCACACACCTTGCACATTTCCAACCCCACCCCGCGCATTCCTAACCACACTCCGCGCATTCCTAACTGCACGCCGCGACTTCCCAACTCTACAGCCCTCTCGGGGAGGCCCGCCTCCCGAGGGCTGCCGGTCCCTCCCTCCTTCTGTCCCTCCCGTCCTGTCAATGGCGCTGTAAAGCGCTGATTAATAGCTCTTCAACGATACCCATAATGCTGGTAAGAGCGGGAGGGGGACGGGAGGAGGTTGGGCGAGGACGCGGCGGCCTCGGGCTGCGGGATCAGCTAACGCGCCCACGTGTTTTGCCGCATGTGTCGCAGAACGCGTCGCGCTCGCCCCGCTCTGCCCAGACCTCCGTCCTACGATACTACATTCTCTTCCATTACGATAGCTACAGTTAGACCTCTAATATAAGGTCAATATATGAGCTCAATTTTCTTCAAAATCAGAGTTTTAAGCCCTTATTCGTTGCAAATCGGGTGTCCAAAAGTCCTTTCATCATGCTATATGGGTATTGAGCAAAGAACAGAATCCCTAGGTACATGGCCAGATAGTGTACAAATGAGAACGATACTGGCGAGGAGCAGAGCGGGGCGAGCGCGACGCGTTCTGCGACACACGCGGCAAAACACGTGGGCGCGTTAGCCGAGCCCGCAGCTCCGAGGCCGCCGCGTCCCCGCCCAACCTCCTCCCTCTCCCTCCCGCTCTTACCACTTTATGGGCATCGTTGGAGAGCTAATCTTGAGCGCTTTACAGCGCCGCTCACGGGACGGGCGGGACGGGAGGAGGGAGGGACCGGCAACCCTCGGGAGACGGGCCTCCCCGAGAGGGCTGTAGAGTTGGGAAGTCGCGGTGTGTGCGGTTAGGAATGCGCGAGTGTAGTTATGTAGGAATGCGCGGAGTGTACTAGTTAGGAATGCGCGGGGTGTGTGGAAATGAACCCCGAATTTTGAAACAAACTGACCGCCATACAGCATCGGTGAAATGTCACCAGACGCACGGCGCGCTTCCTTCTGCTCCTCGCTGTACGCAACGCTAGATACAACGCGCTTGCGCCGGCGAATGCTTTCCTGTGGACCGACCTGACGCGCCGACACCTCGGCCTCGTAGACCCACCCGCTAGATGGAACGCTCATCTTGCCTTCAGGGTCCGCGGAGGAGCGACGACGGTTCACAATGCGGCGCTTCAACGCAGGCTCCGTGGTCCTCGCAGCACCGTTCGCCTTGTCCGGTTCGACGCTCATCTGAGTGGGACGACCGAGCCCAATGCCGATGGCCCCATACTTCCCTCCTCGTGATTGCGAGATGGCGCGGCGGCGCGGGGTGTTGTGGGTCGGGAAGGTAGACGTCGCAGGCGGTGGTGTAGGTGGCGCGTCGGTCAGCGGGCGAAAACGTGCTTGGCTGTCTGCGAGCAGCGCGCCGACTTTGTTCGCCCAGTCTTCGGCGTTGTAGAGCTTGTGGAGGAGCATCTTGAACGTGAATTGGAAGTTCTTCCCGCCGAACGAGCTGCCCTTCTTGGAGATGGGTGTGGTTCGTGGTGGCGATGCGGCGATCGTCTTGCTGCGTGGGCGTGCAGGCGCTGAAGGGCGAGGACGGAGCAAGGAGGTGTTGTTTGTCGTGGTCGGCTTTCCCTCCAGGATGGTGGCAAGATTCTCCACGAGCGGCGCGAGGTCCCGCGGGATCGCGGCAGACCCGGTCTCGTCGTCGCTGCTATCCTCGTCTACCTCAACGACTGGCTCGCGATGGGTGCGACGTGCCAGTACGCGTGGTCGCGGCTCTTGTAACTTCTGGAAGAAGTACAACAAGCGACAAAACTCGGCAGTGTCCGAGCGATTTGTGGAGATACCATCGAAAGCGATCGACGACGACATCGTGTGGAGTTGGACGCAGGTGGGGGGGCTTGATAAAATTGCCTGTCCAAAGTCGGGTTGCGCTGGACGTCGCTTCTGAGGCTTTATGACGAGAGTATGCGGTCGAACGCTGGAGAGAGGTGATTGGAGAGGGAAGGCGATGAGAGCCTCTGTGGCTATGAGGAGCTTTGGACGGCAACAAGTTATATATCGCGCGTTGTTTCCATCGCCGTCTTCTGGAGGTGGTTATGATGTGGTTCGCCCTTCATTTCCGCTCAGAACGACTTCAACCGCCCCTTTGACGATGCCCATTGTCGGGTTCTTATTATTCCACGAAACATATGCTTCAACCACGCAACTGCTGTGGCACATCGATCTGCAGTATATCGATCTTAGTAGCCCTGCGGGTTCAACAATGTCTTCCGCGCCTCCGCACGGCATGATGTTGTACTTACGGGGCACTGCCCGCATCATGAACAACGTCTGGCCCACCCTGTCCGAGGCCCGTGGCCCACAAACATGCAATGGACACGCCCGTGGCCACTTAAATCGCAGATGCGGGGTCTATTCGCCGCCATAAGTTGACACTATCACATCGACCGCTCATGGAATGGGGCTACTGGTTCAATGTCGCTCAGTGCTGTCATGACCCGTGATGGATGAAGCTGTAGAGCTAGCTACTCAGACGTACTAGATGTATCACCTTTTGATTACGTGCTTGAGATGTGCGAAGTCTTGTACATGCAATAATGAGAGGAAATGCAAGTGATCGAAAAGCCAAATCGCCGGCGCGACGCGCCTGACGCCTGGTGCCCTTCGCGGTGATCTCCGTGATTCGGCGGAGGCATGGCGGTCACGCTGGTTCGCGTCGCGACGCGTCTTGTCTCAACCACCACCAGGTCTTGCGCAATCTTAGCGGTGCATCCCAGCGTATTCTCGCTTTAGCTGTGACCCGCACCGACAGACATGGAGAATTTACAACTCTTCCCGCCTCTCTTTGGAGCTGGAAAAGATGCCGACTTCGCCGCGTCTGGGCGAACACTATCAATGGCTCTTTCTTCTCGGGATCTTTCAGCAGCTGTATTCGCTAGTGGTCAGGTAGGATCCCACGCTCACAATTGAGTGCCATTTGCTCACTCTGCTCAAGACAGGAAGTAAGTCGTCGGGGGCGTTCCCCACTACCGTGCAGGACGTCTATACTGCTAGTCTGGAAAAGATTCCTACCGCTGACAGGCGAGCAGTCAGTAGTTGGACTGTTCTTTATCCTATCGAATAATTCTGATGTGTCATTTTAGTTCATCACGGACACGTCCGTTGTTTTTGCTGCTCTGCAAAACCTTCGCCTTCCGGAGGTACAAGCAGCAACTAGGTACTACCTACATCATGATGCTCGAGATCGAGTTCTGACGAGCCTAGTCTCACTGGTGACGTCTCGTACCAAACTACGATCAAACTCGCTCTTGACTACGTGGCTCTCATAAAAGACGCCTGGGTTCAGGCATCCGTGAGTTATACCTCATGTATTTCACCATGTTTCTCACAAGGTCATCCAGTCCCATCCAGGAAAGGAGACCGAAGCCGACCACTATCGCGTTCTCTACTCTTGCATGTCACTCTTCGTCGCCCTATATCTTCCAGAAAACGACCAAGAGTATTCACCTGTTGGCGAAGAACTTATGGAGTGGCTGAACTTCAACTTCATCAACCCAACCACCGAAGAAGGTGACCAACTTAGCGCCCAAGAACGACCCTGGGAGGACGCAGAGTTTTGGCCATATCTCATGAGGTACCCTTCATGGATATCATTCACCGTACAGCTCTGATCGTCCTGTGTAGAACTGTGCTTCGTGGATTGCTCAAATCTTCAGAGTTCTTCGTCGGTTCCCTGACGAGACATCCTTCGCAGCACTTGTCGAAATTCGCCGAACATCTTCGACCTGTACTCACATCACAGCCTCGCCTCGTACAGTACACCGTCGAGCGCGACTTCGTCATCGCGCAACGGCGATGGAAGGAGCGGGTTAGGACCCTGCGCCTTGAGCTTGATCGAGTCCCTGATCAGGAGCGCCGCGACAAATCGGGCGATTGGTGGGCACCCATGAGCAGTATAGTTGGTATACTTGAAGGTCGTGCGGACGCAATCCAAGGAGTATGCTTGGACCTTGGGGGTGATTGGAAGGAACTCTGCGCCGCTTGGGGCATCTTCGTCGATCACCGATTACTCCGACAAGATCTTCCGTGTGTTGAATGACGTTCATCCGATGAACACTGAGCTGACGTCGTGTATAGTGAAGTCGTGAGCCAGATACTGGATACTCTGCCGCCAGACCCGACCGACGCGGAGGACATGATCCTGTCCAGTCTCTTCTCCGGAAAGCCAGCAGACGGTCTATCACAAGCCGCGAAGCATGACCTGTGGTTGTCCGCCCACTGGAGTGACCTCATGGAGACTCTGGATCTCATTGACTCGGCTGTGGATCCTGGGTACGTTCTACTCCTTCACCTGCTTGATCAATGCGCTGATTGCAGCCCTAGAACCGAACTCACCACGCGCCAACAATATGTGCTATCATATGCAGAAAGTCTACGGTCAGATCCAGCCCTCTGGCGTATCATCGTTGCGTACATGGGCGCTTGTGGAGAGACGGGTCTTCGACGGGCAGATGAAGTTCTGCTTCGTGTGCCCATCATGGATGAGGACAAGAAGGCTACGGTCAACGCGGATAGCGATGAAGATGCCGTACCTGAAACGCTCCAGGAGGTGGTCAAGATGTGCTACGAACTTGGCCGTGAACATGTCAGGAGAGAGGTCTGCTCGGTCAGTGACTCATACTGGCGCTTTGCATATTCCTGGCTGAACCGCCATTAGATTGCCGCGCAAAAGTTCATGCAACGCAGACAATACGGGATGGCAGTCTCGTATCTCACCTCAGCAGAGAACTGGACAGGCCTTGGCAGGGTTGTTGATAGTATACTCGACGAGTACATTGCCCATGGTACGCCACTGAGCTCAATCCCCTTCGCGTTATGACATGGATGTCGTTTATAGGCGCCGTCTCGTTTGTGCCCCTCGTCAGCTCCATCGCCCCGTCTCTACAAGAGCTACAGGCTCATCCAGATGCTACCGGCATCTTCATTCGCCGGTTAGTGTTTGCCGTGCAATATGCCGAGTTCCATCAGAGACGGGTGGACGGCGATTACCAGGATGCGGCAATGAGTTTAGAAGCCATGCTCCAGCAAGACGTGGCGCCCAAAGCCTGGTGGGCGGTGCTGCTTTGCGATGCAGTAGAGCTCCTGGATTTGGCTCAGGGTGCGTCCCGCTTCCCGTAACGCTCGCCGAGTTGTAGGCGTCTAACTTCGGCCCGTGTCGATACAGATGGCGTTCTCCTCTTTTCTTCCGTAGGCGCCGTTCAGCTCCTTCATCGTCTTGAGGAGTTACACATTGCTGTGACTCAGGGCTCCGATGATGAGTATCTGGCGATATTGAAGGCGATTCTCAAGGGAGCGAGTGGTAATGACGCACTTCGTCGTCTACAGCGTACTCGTCTGGCTTTGGCGAAGTATTATGCAGCATGTACTGTCGTGGCTGACGATGCGGAACGTTGGCGCGCGTAGTTACGAATCTGGGTCAGTCAGTCATCCCTTGCGCCCCTCCGGCGTCATACTCGGAACCGGGGAATGGGATTCCAATTCGAGATCGCGGACATGTCTTCGGATCGTGGCCATCGATACGAACGGGACTTTGCGCACGGAGCTATGTATAGCCGTGTCCGTTACCCCTAGCATCAGCACATTCAACCCAATCCATCGATGAGGTCCTTGGGACCGTTTCAACAGGTCGGACTTTCACGTCGAGGGTAAGATTGTACATTGGTGTGGCGTACTCGAAGGTCTTCAATGCTTCTGCTGGCACCTGCAATTCGCTGGCGTTGCCCTCTCCGTGCGACTGGTAATGGAACATCTTTTCCGTCGCCACTTGTCGACACGGGATGTCTGCAGGATCATGGCGCTGCTCACGCGGTGCCATCTCTCGGGTTCTTGTCTCTGGGCGTCCGGGAGGTCGCCACTTGCTTGCAGAGGCGATGCTGGCCCCTTTCCCGGAATGCGGTTCGAACTGATACGAACTTCGAGTTCTCGGTGAGCCAGCGTTTGGGATACCTACGGGTGGCGATCGGGTTGTGATACCTGGTTGCTCTGGGTATCTTTCTTTGAGTATAGGCTTGAGACCATAGGATCCTTCACCAATTTAAAAGATCCAGTATGGAGTCTAGAAAGAGCCATCGTCCCGGACGACCCATTCGTACCTAGCCCTCCTACCAGCTCTCGCCAGCCTTCCCTGCCAAAGATGTGCCATTTCAACGTCTTAACCATCCGCTTCACTTGTGGTGACACTCGTAACAAGGAGCTGTTTGTATGCGTCGTGACTTCAACTTCCTCGAGTGCGTTGTTTATCAGAGCTTTAGGTTGGATGTAACGATACAGGGTGCTCGCTTCACCCAAGCCATCCGAACATCTATCATCCCGGACGACTCTGTACTCCTGGATGCTCGCAACGGTACGGATGAGCTCTCGATATCGAGTACTTGGTGGCTTATGGTGCTTTAGCCGTACTTACGCAGGCTCTTCAGCCACGTCTCCGAATCTCTGCCCTTCCCACGGCGGGCCTCCTAACTTCTAGAGCCTAGAGGAGTTGCACGCCCATCTCCCATCCGCGCGTTGCCCTCCACGCTCCGCGGGTAGCGTCTCGTCGCTTAGTCTTGTTCATTAGCTTACACCACCAGAGTCCCCCCACACCATATCTAATGTTTCCCAACCGCATTCAAGCACGCTCACATGTATCTCATCACAACTCATCTTGTAGATTTCTCACACTGTACCAGTTGTACCCTACGAGCTTCTGTAATGTCATAATGACCGCTCCCCAGACTCATTTGTTCATAGTCTCCGGCTGCTACCCATACGACCTCTGGGCCAGAACTTCCGGCTGCCGTCAACTATGACAGTCGTTGGCTCCGATAAGATACACTGTGGTCATGGCGGCGCCTCACTGTCAGAGGCAAACTAGTACCTGAGCGTGCCAGTTTCAAGATCGAGATTGTGATGAGTCGGAAGTGCCATTGAAGCCGCAGTGCGAGGCGGGGGCGCAGGCAGACGAGATCTTCAGAATCAACATGCGTCTGTATCGATCTCGGGAGGGTAGCCTCGATGACTTGGCGGAGAGTCGGAGCTCAAAAAGACCAGGATCAAGCTGCCATCCGCGTTTCATAGTATCCTCGATTGACTTAGAGGATGGCGAATCAGTTGATGTATCGCGCTGTAGATAACCTTCGGTGTTATGCACTCTTTCCAGCAACTTCAGAAGACACAAGCGGCAAGCCTCCAACTTTCCAAGGTCACTCCCCAGCCGAAGGGAAGTAGCACGGCACTCTGAGCGATGAGCAGTACTGATAGTGAGATCCAGCAGCACTAGGTGAACGGTGGTGCGCATGCTCTCATTGGCTGGACTGCAAGCAAATGGTAAGAAGGCCGGCGCTCGACCGGTTCAGAGCCGTCATGATGGTCGCACTCCAACTCGGGGCCCGAGGAGCCCGAGCTTGGGCACCATATCCTCGGTTCAGGCGCGGATCACGCGTCTACGACACGCGTATGCGGCAAGTCGGACCGACGGCCTGCGCTTCTCAGTTCTGTCTTTTGCACCGCCGTGTGGCTCGACGCAGGTCGTCGCGATGTTCTATTATATTTCGTTTCTGAGACCTCCTCCGACGGCGACTGTGCTCGGCGCTCCTGTTGCATTCACCCCGCAAGTATCGAACGATCTCCGGACCGAGAACTTCCCAGGATCTGTCGATATATTCTATCATTGGATAGACTCCACCACCGGCTCGCAATTATCCTCCGCCGTCAAGCTCACTACCTGGCGTGAAGCGAATGCATATAAAGAACTTACTGTTGCGCCGCCGCCGCTGAGAAAGCCGGGACAGGCTACTCTGGTCCTCACGTCGAGCCAGGCGTCAGGCGCTCGGGAAATTGACCTGAGGTCCCTGAAATACGGAAAGGAGCCGCTGCCCGTATACTCAACGCCCATCGTATTCGGAGCGCGGTCAGCAGGAAAGGCTCGTAAACAAGAGGCAGTGGAAAGGCGATTCCGCTTGTTCGACTCGGACGATGGCGGCAGCCTTCAAGTGCGGGAGATGACGAGTTTCGATTTGGACAAGGTACGACATTCACGGTCATCCTTTATCACTGTGTTCATGACGAACTAGGGAATCGCAGAAACTCTGGGACAGTGGGGTCGGGCTGTCTGGCTGGCTTGTACGACTGTCAGCTGAACCAACATCCAACCTGCACTTGAAGGAGGCCCTCTGGGATGCTGTTGCTACAGAGACAGAGCTTCGCGTCGTGGAGCTTGGTTAGTTTACACGTATAGCCTCAAGCAGCGTGATGAGCTAACAGATCAAGATAGGTGCGGGTACAGGCGTGGTATCTCTGGTGCTTGCGGCGGTGCGGAACACTCTGTATCCGAATGCGCCAACAAAGATCTTATCCACCGACTTGCGTGCGTAGCTACAGCTATGATGATTGGTTCTCACTGACATCTCTTACAACGTAGCGTCGTCCATTGAACTCATGGACTACAATGTGTCGGGCAATGCCTCGCTATATCCCATTCACCCACCCCACCCTATCGTTCTGGACTGGGACGACGACGGTATACCCCGAGAAGTAGCTGATATGGAATGCATCGACATCATCATGTATGTATGATGCCTCTCACGTGCGCTCGTCGTCATCTGACTCGTTTCGCAGGGCTGCCGATATCACCTACAATACAGCGTCGTACCCCTCTCTCGTCGGGACGCTAAGCCGTTTGCTGGCCCATAGTCCAGAGGCGATCTTTCTCCTTGCGTACAAGCAGCGTGATCTCACCGAGAGGGAGCTATGGAGCATGGTCAGCGAGCATGTGTCAATTACGCTTCAGAAGGTGGACGATGTGGTGGGAGCCGGCGGTCAAGCCGTAGAGATCTGGATTGGGAAGCGCGCATCTCAAAATGCACACCCTGCCCTGCAATCATGAGCCGTTGTATGGACGTTATACCTTCTCGGCAAGTATTTCGCCCGACACGATCCTATTACTGCTGACTGGCTACCGCACTGTAGGTCACGAGGCTAGATATACGGGGCTGTGACACTCGATGCGTAGCTGCGAGACTGCGCTTGGGGCTTGTCCCGCTTATGATACCGCCCATGTCGGGGACGCTGTTTGGTCATGGCCAATCGAGGGGATGCTTCACAAAGCCTGAACAGAACGTAACTTCTGCATATCAGTAACATATTGCCTCCTTCATCGAGCATTCGCAGCGAGTCGTGCTTGATACAGTACCATCCTAACCTTCAGACCGTATGCGTACGTCGGAGATCCAGGTATCGAAGCGCTAAACGGCTGAGCGCTGAGCGTCAGGATGCTGCGGCCGCTTCGGCTTGCTTGCAGAGCCTTAGCGCGGAGTCCGCCTAGTCCGATGCCCTTCTCTCTGAGCACGCTCGCTGCTAGGTGCACCTATTCTGAGGTACGCGTACGGATGACCGGTGAACAGTACGACGAATGGCTGGTAGCCGGTAGGGTTTGCTCTGGTTCGCTGCTCGTGATTCGGACTTACATGGTCCGCCGAGGTTGACTGCGCTTAACCGCTTTTGTGCCTGATCCCGCTGAACGGTCGTTTTCCTGTCGCGCAGCGCTGCGCAGCATCCCGTTCCGTCAATCCGAGCAGGAATAGCTCTCTCCGCAGACTTGGCAATCATAGTGCGCAGAGGATACATATACGCGTTTGGACAGACGTCAACTCTGCCTTCCTCATCCCCCGCCACTTCACCCTTATCGGATTCATACTTCTCGCATCATGCGCCCAACACTACCAGGACATGATTTGCCTCAGTCTTTATTATACTTGACTTTCCTCGCGCCCGCCTTCGCAGCCTCAGTACCGCAGACACGCAATCCAGACGCAGGCGCTCTACACATACCACTTTCGCGACGAGCACCAAAACAACGCTCACCCGAAGAGTTTATGGAATGGGCACGGCGGGAGAAATTGCGGCTTCAGTTGAAGTACGGTGTCCCGGAGCTGCGGAAGCGATCCTCGGGATACAATCTGTGCGTAATCACGGCCGTCAGCGCCTGCCTGCGGTTTGCTGACGAGTACAATGCAGCCTGGTAAACCAGAACGCCGATACTACCTACTACGGTTCTCTCGCTGTCGGTACTCCAGCTGTGGCGTATAATGTCGTGCTCGATACCGGGTCGGCCGACTTCTGGCTAGCAGCGCCGGACTGTAGCGGTTGTCCAAGCGGCATAGAGACGTTCGACGGCTCCAGTTCAAGCTCATTCTCCAACCTATCAGAGTCCTTTTCAATATCCTACGGCTCGGGCTCAGCGAGCGGGTATCTTGTCAGCGATACGGTGCAGATGGCAGGGTTTGAGGTTACCAGCCAAACATTCGGTATGCATGCTACTATCCCCTACGCGAACTATGTAACTGACGTCGGTGTAGGTGTATGCGATACCGTCGAGTCCGGGCTCATTGACTCGCCTGTGTCCGGGCTACTTGGACTCGCGTGGAAAGGCCTGTCTTCTTCCGGCGCCACACCGTTCTGGGAACAGCTCTACGAGTCGAATGTACTCGACTCGCCGGTCATGGGCTTTTATCTCTCGCGCTACTTGAACGTTTCTCAAGCTTCCTCACTCGAATCGGGCGGCACATTCACTCTCGGGGCGCTTAACACAAGCTTATACACTGGAGATGTGGATTATCAAGACCTTGCCCAGGACGACCTATACTGGACGCTCAGCATCGCAAATGCGACGGTAAACGACAACACCATCTCTATATCGAGCGGCGACACCGGTGCCGTCATTGACACGGGCACCACGCTTATTGGTGGACCTAGCACGGAGGTGGCGAACATCTACGCGCAGATATCGGGTTCTGAAGCGCTGTCGGGGTCTTATGACGGATACTACAGCTATCGTGAGTTCGCAAGTCAGCTGACCGTTCCACCTCTTACTGACGCACTCGCGCCTTCCAGCATGCGATACGTCTGTCTCCCTCGCGTTCTCGTTTGGCGGACCATCCTGGGCTGTGTCCAGCGCCGACTTTCAACTGTACGAAAACGGAGACGGAACATGCATCGGCGCCGTTTTCGTCTACGAAAGTTCGTCATCTTCAGAACCGTCCGGGCCGGGCAGTGGCGGCCCCTTCAAGCGCGACACATCCTCTCCTGCGTGGATCGTAGGAGATAGCTTCCTCAAGAATGTCTACTCTGTGTTCAGGGCGAATCCCGCATCTGTCGGGTTCGCGCAACTGAGCGCAGAGGCATTGGGGAGCGACGGCGCGACGGACGCAAGCGTGCCGACTCCCACGGTTGGATCCGTCAGTGCCAGCGTCACTGGCTCTTCCAGTAACAGCTCGTCACGCAGTGGCAGCGTACACAGGTGGAGCATATCCCTAGGCACTGTCGTCACAGCGAGTCTTGCTTTGTTCGGTTTGCTCTGAGAGGGCATCTGCTGGGAGATACATTGTCGCTTGTTCTGTATTTGTAGGTTTTGACATGCTTTGGTCTACGCTACGAATCTTCACTCTCCTTCCTTATCTTTGCATCGGACTCTGACCATCTTCATCATTGGACGCGTACACCCGGAGCTCTACATGTACATCTTTTGTATTATACCTTCACCTCACGAATACACTCTGATGAGCATCCCTCGACGTCTGGTTGTCTGAGCACTATTGGTCCTTTCAGGAAACGTCAACATGACTTCGTCTCGTATCTAAATAGCACCAGAGAACGCATTAGACGCAAGATTGAATGAATACATGTGCCAATCTGATTATATACACTTCCGATTACGCTGTTTCCTGCGGGTGAACGACGAGCTTCGAAGCGCTAACGCTCCAGCTTGCAAGACGCTCGAGACCGGCAAAAGTTCCAGCTAGACCGTCCGGCAGCACTTCGACGGCATTAGGCTATCAAGACGGTCAGGAAGTAGGTACAATTGTAACTGAGGCATCTTCGTACCTTGATTGACCCGTCCTCCAATAAAGCTATGAGCTTCGAATACAAGCTCGCACCCAGTGCATGATTGTCCTCGACATTGACGTTTCCGTAGCAGAATACAAGAAGCTTGTTGTCTGCCCCGCGCGAGCCAGCTTTGGCGGCCTTTTGAGGAAGTACGACGACGATGCTCCCTCCGGGTGCAAGGGCACGAAGACCCGCGGGGACGGAATCTTCCCTGGTCACTGCATCGTACACGACCTCGATGGGCTGTGTCGTGATCTTGGCAACAGCATCCGGAAGCTCAGAGTAGGGAGTCTCTCGATAGTCGATGACGTGAGTTGCTCCAGCAGCCTTACAATACTCCGCGTTGCGTTGAGAAGCAGTCACAATGATAGGGCTGAATCCGGATAGCTTAGCAAGCTGGATGGCTGCAAGCATGTTCAGTAATGCTACGTGTGAGCAAGATCATGCCACGCGTACCAAACTGTCCCACGGAGGTCGACCCTCCCAGGATCAAGATAGCTTTACCCGAATACTTGCCCTTCCCGGCATCGGTCCAAGGTGCCTCCAAACCGATACCGCCACCAGGGCCTTCGAAGCCTTCTCTGACTTCACCGTAGAGTCCCATTGCAGCGGTCCCAAGACCTAAGGGAATAGTAGATGCCGCGTCGAAGGATAAGTTAGAGGGGATCTGCATCATTGGGACGAAGCGTGAGCGTCGATACAATCGCAAGACAACGATGAACGGCTACCTTCGCAGTCCGCACAGCGTCAGAGATAGCGTATTGCTGGAGTGTACCACGGTCGGCAGTCCAGAAGCAGGGGAAAAGGCTGGGTATGGAGTGGTCAGAGGACCCTCCCATAGCATCTGAAGTTGTGTACTTACACCCGGTCACCTTTCTCGAAGCCAGACACGCCTTCGCCGATGGCTTCCACAGTACCTGCGCCATCGCTACCAGGAACTGCAGGGAAACCATAATGCTCGACAATATACCCAACAGCCCGGATATAGTCATCGACGGGGTTCAACGCGGCCGCATATACCTTGATGAGAAGTTGACCAGGACCTGGCGATGGGATGGGGCGACTACCGAGCTCAAACTTCCCGGCGTCCTTGCTGTGCAAGATGAGAGCCTTCTGACTGGACATAGTCTAAGTGTTGGGAAGGTAGCTGGGTACAAGGGTCGTGGATGAGTCGGGTTGGTATGGCCTTTGTTGTCATACCACGTACCCTTATATAGGTCGCGGGGGTGGATCGGACTCCCGGTAGATCGGGATTGAAGAACTACGTCAGCTTTTCGTGGCGTGCATTCGACGCAAGCTAGATTGCTTTGGGTAATCCGCGCGCATGCAAATCAACGCGTGGATCTGAGAGTTCGATGACAGAGGCGGGGAACACAGCAGGCAGATAATGTTGTGAGAACTATTTCGCCGAGAGCACGCCATCGGCCTCGACACGCGTGATGGCATGCCTTACTGAGTCTGCTGAGCAGTAGTACGACCGATACTTATATCAGATTTGACCCACGCGTGACTGTGCAGCTAAAGAGACATAGATGCAAATGGTACATCTCATCGCCATGAGTGGAGGTGGAGGACGAGTCCTTGACGGCGGTAGGGTTGCTTCCGAAGGCCTCGGGCCGAGACCGACTGCGCGCGTGGCATGCACGCGAGATCGCGTCAAAGTTTGGCGCGAGGCCCGCGCGAGGTTTACGCCGCCCAGTTCTTTATCCCGTGCGTTCGACATGAAAATGTGGCACAGCTCTATAATAAGAACCAAATGAAGAGTACATAAGGTACATGATGCTGTTAGAGCCTTAGAGGTACACAAAAGATCCAGAAGCTTCGGCATGAAGGCTCATGTTTCTTGCGGATGGACGATGAGTTTTGATGCGCTGACGCTCCAGCTTGCCAGACGTTCCAGACCACCAAACGCCCCTGCCAGCCCGTTGGGCAGTACTTCAATAGCATTAGGCTGACAGCAAGTATCAGCACGCGCGTCACTGGGGTAGCAGCAGTGAAACGCGTTCACCTTGATCAGCCCTCCCTCTAACAACGACGGAAGCTTGGCATACAGGCTATTGCCCAGCGCATTGTTATCCTCGTTATTGACATTCCCATAACAGAACACGACTAGCTTGTTGTCAGCATCCCGCGAGCCAACCTTGGCGTTGCTGGGAGGAAGGACCACGGCCATGTTCCCACCGGACGCAAGGACACGCAAACCGGCGGGGAAAGACTCCGTTGTCGTGACCGCGTCGTAGACGACCTCGATCGGCTGTGTCGTGATCTTGGCCACAGCCTCAGGCACTTCGGCGTATGGCACTTCCCTGTAGTCGATGACATGTGTCGCTCCGGCGCTCTTGCAATACTCGGTATTGCGTCGAGAAGCGGTTACTATGATTGGGCTAAAGCCAGATAGCTTGGCCAACTGGGTCGCTGTACAAGCAGAGATGAGATTTTGTACAGCAGAAAAGTACCCCACGTACCGTATTGGCCAACTGAGGTCGACCCCCCTATGATCAGGATGGGTTTGCCCGAGTACTTGCCTTTGCCGGTACCAGTCCACGGAGCTTGCAGTCCAATACCACCTCCAGGGCTCGCATTGCCCTCCTTGATCTCCCCGTATAGCCCAGCTGCAGCGGTAGCCAGGCATAAGGGGATAGTAGCTGCATCATCAAAAGACAACTTGGACGGTATCTGTGTTGTTTGAATCATGTTAGAACAGTGCCATCACCTCTCGTCGAAAGTCCTTCACCTTCGCAGTGCGGACAGCATCTGAGAGAGCGTACTGCTGGAGAGTACCGCGGTCCGCAATCCAGAAGCACGGGAAGATGCTGGAAGTGTGACATGAGTATAGCGGTTATCGGCGAGATCGTCTGCTACTCACACTCGATCGCCCTTCTCAAAGCCAGTCACGCCTTCGCCGACTTCCTCGATAGTGCCCGCGCCATCACTTCCGGGAACTGCAGGGTAGCCATACCATTGCACTATGGGTCCAAAGAACTGTAGGTTGTCGACAGGGTTCAATGCCGCCGAGTGCACTTTGACGAGTACTTGACCCGGGCCAGGCGACGGAATGGGGCGAGTGCCGATCACATACTCCCCAGCGTCCTTGCTGTGTAGGATCAAAGCCTTCTGGGTGGACATGTACGGGTGCTTGAAAGAAGCGCGGCTACCCTGAGCGGAGGCACGAGTGGTGAGACACTGTCAATGTCAGTCTGCGAGGCTGTACTTATAGGCTGCGATGTGGGTCAACGTTGCCGCGTCCAGATATCAGGTGGGGCTGTCATACTAGAGCGCCCTGCGAAGGCTGTACTGGGTTAGTCTGATCGTTATCCGAATGGAAGGTCTGTCAGCTTCCGCTTGTTCAACGCAAAGCCTTTGGATGCATCTGTCAACGTGGATGTAATGTAACACAGGAGGGACTAGTCAGGCGGGAAGTTGTAGTCGATTATTAGGTGCAATAGCCGCGGTTGTAGTTATAATCGGGACGCGATTGAGGGCGAATCCGCATACAGGACAAAAGGGAAAGTGCCTCTCGAATCTAGTGATGTGGCCCAGATTCCCTGCGTGAGACTATCGTCCGCGATCTCGCGGCGCCTAGTCGTCCGGATATAGCTACTTGGATAGTGAGCAAGACGTTCTCTCGAAGACGAAGCCACTAACCTTCCCAGGGTTGAATAGACCGAGAGGGTCTACTGCCCTCTTGATGGTCTTCATGAGCCGCACCGTCCCAGGACCAAGTTCGTCGTTCAGATACTCTCGCTTGCTTATACCGACTCCATGCTCACCAGTGCCTACATGGGGTGAGTAAACTTCCGATGAGGAAACGAATACACGGTATTCATACATGTGCCGTCCAGATCAAGCGCTCGCTTCACCATCTTACGCATGATGGCATGCGCAGCCTTCTCCTGCTCAGCGTCGCTGTAGCTGAGCGTCGCGTGGAAGTTGCCTATGTCTGCCATCAGCATCAAATATATGAACGCCTCTGCGTACACTCACCGTCGCCAGCGTGTCCCACAATCGTGCCGATGATACCCGCTTCGTTTATGTCCTTCCGAAAATCTTCAACAAGTTGGGGAAGCTTCGATACAGGGACACTGGAATCTGCGTAAGCAAGAGCCTCACCGCAACGGAGAAACCAGACCGTACCAGACGTCTGTTGGGATGGTCTTCGAGCCAGGTCCACCATACAGTACACTGGCGAATGCTGCGTTCTTCCGGTCGTTCCACATACTATGCGCCTCCTCGCCCTCCGCGAACATCCAGTTTTCGCCACCATGCTTGGACGTGATCTCGCGTGCAAGAGCTTCAGACTCGGTCATGGCATTTATCGTTGCGCCTTGTAGCTTGAGAAAGAGGTGGTCCACTTCGGCGTACTTTCTTGGAGAGTCAAGATGGGCGTTGAACGCGCGCATCTGGTGTTTGTCGAGAAGCTCAATGCATTCTGTACAATGTAAGTCAGCATGAGCTATTACGCACACGAAATATGACGTACGTAGTCCGGCACCGCGATTCAACAGCTCCACGACTGCATCACTTGCTTTGCGGACGTTCGGGAAGCTGACGATGGCAACGGCCGTTGGCAATACTGGCGCAAGACGGATGGTCACTGCAAGGGCTATGATCAGGGATTCGATGCGCCACGAGTGAGACAGACGCGTACACTCGGTGACGATTCCCAAGGTCCCCTCAGCACCAATGAATAGCTTGGTGACGTCCCAACCAGCTGACGACTTGCGGAAGCGTCGCCTTGTCTTTATGACTTCTCCTGATGGAAGGACTATCGTCTGTGTGTTGGTCAGTTTCACGTCTGTACATGTTACAGCGAAGCTCTGTATGTACGTACAGCGTTCAGGAACCATTCTCCGCGCGCGGTCCCGTATCGGACGGCATTTGCTGTCTATAGTCAGCACAGCACGTCGCAACGGAAGTGAGGGAGACCTACTTCCGGAACAGCCGGTGCTGAACATGCCACCGAGCGTGGCACTAGGCGCAGGGTCAAGCTAAACGGGCTGTATAAGCCGTTCTGCTCACTCGTTGACATAATGCATCGTACCGGGAAGAAGAGTGGTATCCCTCTGTCTCGTAGCTCTTCGTTGAGCACCATCCAGCCAACGCCGGGCTGCACTACGACATCCGCGTCGGCCTCTATCCGAGCGATGAGTATCAATTGTGCTCGGATACTGGTGTATCCGTGCTCACCATGGATCTCCAAGATCCTGTCCATCCGCGAGAGGTCGACGCATATGCTTCCGTGTTCAGTCTACATCATCGTATTAGCGGCACCGCTCAAGGACAATCGATGGTAGTGTAGCCACGACGTACACCGGCGATGTGTCCCTCCAGACTCGTTCCACCAGAGTAGGGCACGACCGGTATGCGGTACTTCTTGGCAAGCTCGACGACTTTTACTACATCCTGCGTTGTTTCGGGATATACGACAACGTTATGAGGAATCACTGCGAGGTAGGATGTGAGTACTGAATCTATATGGACACAAATGTCCACTAGACTCACCCGTCTTACGGCCAGTGAACCACCTCGCATGGGTATCGCCGTCGGATTCGTCTGTAGAAACAACCCCTGGTCGATCGGCGAAGGCATGCTGCAACGCATTCAGTGCGGCTCTTATATCATCTGGGCCGCCGTATTGAGAATGGGACGAAGACAGCGCGGTGGCGTGGTTGCCGCCTCCATGACGGATGAAGAGCACGCCGGCACCGAAGCTTAGCACGGAGATCCCGGCCAACGTAAGCAAGTTGAATTTGGGGCCGGTACGCTCATTCTGTGGCCCATAATGAGAGGACGAGCTCGAAGCTCTCACAGAGGCAGGATTGATCGAGGCGAGGGTACGGGTCAGCCCACGCAGGCCTATTCGGCTCGACGCTCGGGCCATGACCAGACTAGTCCACGCAAGGGTATGGGTGCGGAAGGCAAGATGCCACTATATTGAGGGCCCCGCTGTAGACATATCCGGCGCTTCTGGTGCTCGAATAGGATGCCATCCTGAACAGAAGGTGATGGTGGGAGCAATTGTGGGATCGACGTTCACGCATCCGCGGCAGGCCTCCGGACGCCTTGACGAGTAGGTATAAAGGTCATCAGGGAGTGATTGCCTGAAGTATCATCATGTATGGGAGTTCATGCCAGTCCGAGATGCTATGTGGTGGGGCTAAGGGAAGTTCCTGTCGCCAGCTCTTTCGTACCGGCCCCGCGCGCGTGGGATGCACGCGAGCGCGCGCCAAACTTTGACGCGGTACGCACGCGCTCGATTGTTGAACTTGGTCCAGGTCCACCACCGCTCCTCTCCCGCTCTCTCCCGCATCCTACACATATCTCTACCAGAATGGCCTCCCAACAACCCACAAACTCTACCTCAATCACGCACAATGGAGATGGGACTCCGCCATCCTCCAGGCGCTGGATGTACTTCGACAAAGCCCTCCATCTCGCCATTGCCCGTGCTACCCACAAGTGGACGTGCGTCTGTTCAATCAACAAATCAAACATATGACTCACGTCTAACGTAGCTCGTGAACTGCTAGTGTGCAAGACTTCAAGGAGTGCTTCCCTCTATGGTCTGAAGACCAGCCGAGAGGCATCGAGGGCGTACATTCAACACTGGCAACGTATACAGAGCGCTTCATCACGGTATGTGCTCCCTCAACAGTTCAAGTCGCCAATTTCTCATCAACGAACAGGACAACTGCGCCCGGATACTGTCTGCTTGCGATGCGCAAGGCAACATCGACCGTCTTGACGCAGTGGTCTCCACCGCCCGCGCTCTACACAAAGCAGATCCTGCCGCACCTCCCCCTCCCGATGCTTGGCGTGAGAATCTATCGCCCCGAACGGCCGTACGGGCGCGAACTGTACCCGCTCTGCGCGCTGAACGAGACCGCATGCGTCAAGAGCTCGCGGCGCTGGAAGCCGAAAATGCGAAGACGATCGCAGAGGTCCAGGCAAACCAGAAACGGATGGCAGATGCGCAAGCGAAGATCAAGGAAACGTTGGATATATTGGAACGTGTAAGCGAAGCTTGGGAAGGGCAAGATGTTGAGGAGTGGCAGAGGTGGGCGATGGAGAGCATTGAACGGCTACCGGCGGGGGAGTCGTGAAAGGCTTCTTTCCTTTACATCGATTTGCATGACACCTTCTTGTATAGTGTGGATTTGTAGCAACATCACTACCATTCTTATTCGTTCTCATGTCTTTTACAAACGGCACATTATGGGTACGGTGGGGCAAACGTCGCAGATGCAGATGGTATCCTGAGTACGAGGCTAGCTAGGGTATAACGAAAGAGACCGCTGCCATCATCAAGTCCGGAACTTGAGTAATGAGTCCTTCAATGAGTATGTGTATCCGGATAGTTGAGCGACTGATGGTCGCAACTAGTCGTCCTCACCCACAATAGGTAGCCCTAACCGGCGCCGCAACGCAAGGACCTTCTCCAGAACCTGCGGGAAGTCGCCTATCCCCTGCTCCGAGTCGGACATGTCATCGTCGCCGTGTACCAGGACATCGATGATCTCGGCGGTACGTCTCATGAGATCAGGATCAGCCGCTCGCAGCAGCGCGTCCTCCGCATCGAAGAGGGCAGTCTCTGCGTCGCAGCGAGCCATTCCGATGACATGATTGGCATCCTGCGGTGAGGTGAGATATGAATGGGACGACTATCGTATGGACATACCATGATGGCATTCAGAATATCGCGCTGGGCCTGCAGGTTAGCCCGTAAGGCCTTCTCACAGTCACTAAGCAGCTCAGCGGCATCTTTGGTGGGGGAATCATCCTTGGTGATAGAATCATCCTTGATGGTGGCAATGGTGGCGGCAGTGGTGGTACCGTCGGTGGAATTGGTAGGAGTAGACATGCGAGCGATCGAAGGATGAAGATTACGAGGATATAATGGTTGGCAGTGGGAAAAGTGAGATAACTCCCGGCAAAGGCGGCTCATATATACCTGCATCGAGGTCCTATGTGTCGGAAAGGGTCTTGAGACAGCATGGTACACCCCTCAGGCCTCACGCACGAGAAGCAAGTTTCGGATACGGATAAGGTATAGGGGCCTGATGGAAAGTGATGGCCAAAAAAGGAGTCGCATTGTATAGCAGTTTTACAGCCACGTAAGTTGGTTGAGAAAGGCGAAACGAGAAATCGACGCGGGGGAGTAGGTGCTGAACTGCTTATGACGAATCGAGATATACTTGATCACTGTCGCGACGCGCCATGTTAGCACTGACAAGATTCCGCAATGCATGGTATCGAGGATCAGATAGGCTGCAATGGATAGGGATCTACGACAGATAGCGACATGGAAGTTAGGAGCAACCCTAGGCCATGGAGGTGAGAACTACCGTCCGGCCCGCAGTGGAAGTGGCGCGCTCGCGACCAACTCCTCCTCTCAACCACCACCACTGCCTTCGTTACCCGCTTGCCCATCGTATACTTGCATCTGTACTTGAACATTCACACACACGCCTGCTACTGTATCATGCGCTGATGCACGCACCCGCCCTCCGACTCGGCCCCTTCCCCAGTGGTCCGGCCTGAATGTTTCGGCAATGGCAGAGCAAGACCTAGGACTCCTTCAGAGGCTCGCGGCAAGCTGACCCTCGATCCGAACCACTCCTGAACTGGAGGCTGTCATGTGCTGGGCCACTGACTCGGATACTCCCCGAACCTCCTGGTGTATCGGATGCGGCAGGGCATACGCGTATAAAGTCGATGGTCTTCAATTCCTCATGAGACCATCACCGCAGTTGAAAACGCCCAACCAACCATATATCACCGCATAAACCTACCAATCACCATGCCTTCGAATACGTGCTATACTCTCGTACGTACTCGCGGCCATTTTCCTCACATCACCCCGTGCTAACTCTGCGTTCTCAGCCCATGCAACGTTCGCGTACTGCGCCGGCCGCAACACGCTTCACACTCGATACCCCTTTCGCCATGTCACGAACCAAGTCTCGCAATCGTCGGGCTTGCATTGATCCTCATCCATCTCCTGTTCAGACTCGTCGCGCCGAACGCAAAAACTCAACACGTGCTCAGCCACACCACGTACGAGAACCCGCCGCCGTGGAAGCCGACCCCGCACCGCTTCCGGACATCGAAGACCGCGCGGTTTGGCCTCATGCGCGCGCACCTCCTCCCGGCGCAGGGCTGGGTGGCAACTTCGACTTGACGGACTTCGCTACGGGAAGGGCCTTCGTCGTTCTTGCCACGGCTGGCATGCGTGGACTCACCGGCGATAGCGGGGGTCACGGGCCCGTTAACCCATTTGCGTGGGCTATGAGGTTTTGAATGAAACTCGCTAAATGCTCGCTATTCGCAAGTTGCTTCTCATATATTTCTCAGAAGCATCGACTCCACTCAACCGTATACCCATGTTCACTCGATGTTTCACTTGTACTCCAAGAAGCTTTGGTTGGAATTATGAATATGATGTCAATCTATGCTGCGAACACTGATGATCTCAATGAAGGTTCTCGTCTGGGTCAAGGACATCGCTCACCAAAGTCTGATCGCACCTGGAGGAGCGGAGTGATCTTCCCTGGCGATACAAAAACTATCCCCAGTAGTTGCACGTCCGCCATGCTGATGTATCCTGGACCCAGACCGAACTTCCAACGTGGGGCCACCCACTGCGTTGTGGTGGCATTCTCCTTCTCCGCGCCCTTTTCTTCATAAGCATGCATTGTGATACGGCACCGGCGACTCACACACCTCTAAGCATTGGCGGACTTTCGATCCGATTAGGCGCGCTAGGCGCGCTAGGCGCCGCTCGGTGATGTTGCCGACGACGGAGGAACGAAGCTGGATCTGCACTTCGAACGGCGAGTAATTGAACAGCTGCACGGATCATCAGCGCGATGATCTGGGGCCATGAGCGCGAAAGCTAACTTTCAATAGAACCTTGAGAGATGTTGCTGAAATGCGAGTAGGAGAATCAAGAAGGCTGTCGTAGTCATTGCTTGTGGGATCAATACGCACACCCACGATCCCGTTCACTCGTCTGAAGAAGATAGGGAGCATGCATGTATCTTGCAGCGCAATCTCGCAGCGCAGAGTGCCAGCGTATGGGGTGAAGAGCTGGGACGGGATGATGTACATAGGCTCGCGGGCGATCATGTCCAGGATGCACCATGAGATGTACCGCCCTGGCTGGGTTGTGATGGCCCAGATTCTGTCGGCGTCGTGCAGATTGAGTCTATCGTGTGCGAGGAATACAATGGCGGTCGTATCAGAATGCGGCGTTGTCAAGAGGTTGAGAGAGGAAGACAGATAGCTCTCGTATGCAGTGGTGTGGTCGAACGCGGGGTGCACAAGGCGTCTGACTCGTTGAACGGCAGCCCCGACGCCAAAAGTGCATGCGATTACGCCATTACAAAGCTTAGAGACGAGGAAAGCTTCACCGCAGACCGTACTAGACATGCGGATGTGCTGTATGGAGTGCGCTGATGCTGAATGCCTAGTCAACACGGGTGGCTTTATACGCGCTTGCCACCAATTTGCAATCCGACCAATGTACCCAGTTGAAGCCTCAACATACTGAATTGATGCCGCCCTGTGAAGAGAGTCAGTGTACATCACTAGTCCGTCGAGTCGTGACCCTGTGGCCAAAAGGCAATAGTGACCCGGCTTTGAGGCCGGTGGGTGACACCCGACAAGGTTTCGTCGGCTCGTCGTCAGCACGTCCGCACTCCGCGAGGTCATTGGGTACCCGTTCCCACCAACTCAGGGATTGACCTTGTGTGGCACTCCATCTCGTACGCATATTGTTCAGACACACTGGACAAAAACGGGTGCGAAAGGGACTGTATCATACTTATCGCCAAACACTCCTGTCTAGTTTCTAGTACCCTATGTTTGCGCAATAGACACTCATTATCACTAGGAATAGTGCTACCGTTGAAGATACTCTCAGAAACTGACAGAGCTAAGCATAGTATGCTGGCCACAGATTAAAGGTGCTGATCAGTCCGACCCACCGACAGGGACCACATTCGCGGAGCCGACGAAGCTCCCGAGTCGCGGTAGGAAGGACTGCACGCATCCGCACGCAGAAGGTTAGACGCTCTCTAGAACAGAATACAATCAGTATTGTTGTCTTCTCACAGGCCGCCATGCGCTGTGACGATAGGGTTCAGACCACTCGCCTTGCAACAGTGTAGTTGTACATCTGATCTATGGCGGTATTCGGACTGCCCGAAAGCTTGCCGGCGAGTCCATCACTTGTAAAGCCCGTTCCCTCTTTGTAAGCCGATACATATGTGTGCGAGTGCCTGAGCTGTGAACTTCAGGTAGGAGCTCTACTCCAGACGTACAGGCATGTTTCGAGCGGCATGCGTCGCTTCCGATCGCGAGACCTGAACAGTCACAAGCGCTGGAAGGGCGTTGGATGCACATGGTGGCTCGTGTTGAGCGTGCGCGGAAAGAGTGAGATAGACTGCGTGGCGTCTGTGTGCGTTCTCCGAGGTATGCATCGAGTCTTCGTAGATCCAAGGCTCGTGTTGATCTAGCTATGAGCGGTGAGACGGGACAGCCTCACGATGTAGATTGAGAAGCACATGCGTACATAGTTCTGTATGGGCCAACGTTAGCCGCGCATGTATGGATTATGACGGCAATCGCAGCTCCTCGCCACACGTTGAGAGACCGATCAACCCCCCGCGCGCTGCGCGCTGAAGTTTGATAGGCCAGGCGTCGCGCTGCTGATTGTTCTTTTGCGCTTTGCCGCCGTTTCAAATAACTTACATGAGTGGCACGCACCACTAGCGTATTAGGATGCATGGGTGGTATCCCCGTTTGGACTTCACGATAGACGTTGGCCGGGTAGCTGACCTTCGCGCCATGTTTGGGCCCGCGCGAAAAGACCGTACTGATCTCTAGGTCCCCCCTGTGAAGTGGCTCGCGTAGCCTTAAGAAACCTAGTCCAGGCACGTGATACGTCAGTATCCACAGTTTGCATGAGGCCTCGCCTGTGCATGAGGATGGCACACTGTGAAAAGTGGTACTTTCGCACTGTGTCAGTCTGCGATGAGGGGCACAGTGAGTTACAGAGCGTGCGTGCGTCTCGGCTGCGATAAGCGCATAAGATGCCGCGCAGCGACGTTTCCCCGTCAAGTCGACAAGCGTGGTCGTATCTGCCGCTCGTAAGGGTCAGCATTCAATTTCAGGTTGGGTTACGTTGCGGCGTAACATTAAGGCCGGCGACAAGGTGATGGGTCGAGCACCCCGCGCTCAGCGCGTGACTGTGCATAGCGTTTGAAAAGGGCGGCTATATTGACATACTTACAATCAACACAAAGTCCAGAAGAAAGTTTACTCAACATCATGCCTCATGACTCCTCATCGCGTGATTGGATTGCTTTGATGACCTTATCGCAGTGGTGGCATGGGTAGATTAGGGCGCCTTTCGTTGGTGAACTACCGTTCATCCGCGGAACTACCTTGTACCGATGGCTCTTGTAGCCGTACGCAGTACAGTAGCTTATGGTAATGTGGTGCGCGCAGGCCCCTAGAAGAGTTCAGGCCATGTGGAACTACTATACGTACCAAGGAACCTCTCGCAGCAGCCGTACACAGTTCCCTCGCCAGTGCACGGGCGCCTAGCCACAAGATAGGTTGCAATATTTGAGACTTGCTGCCGATCAGAACAGGTTAGAGCGGGCGATAGTTAATGATATGTATGTGGGACCACTTGGTGCACACTTCAACCGGCGTCACCATCGGACCAGAGGCTGGGTGATTTGCGCCTCAGGCCGCAGCGGGGATATGATGATATTTCAACGCCAGTGGCAGCGAGCATCTAACGGGCCGTAAGTCGCCACTGTAAAAATGTTTGGAGACCTCTGGGGAATAGCCATAAGAGCAGAGACTTCCGCGTATCTCGATGGAAGTAGGATACAGTGAACGCGAGAGGCAAACTTGCTTGACGCGCGTTGGTCGGTTGTTCGGGCCGCTCCCACGTGGGAGGTGCCGTTGGCGAACTCGCAAGGACGTGCACAAGTTATCGCGTCCCCACCAGCCCCATCTCCATCGACAGTGTACAGCTTCATTTTCGGTCTTCTGAGCGAATTTTATACAGCACCGCGCATGTGCACCAGCTTTTTCGCCCCGCCCAGACTCAGAACGCCGTAGGGAAAGGCTTGGACGCCATCCAACGCTTCTTCAACTACCGGACGCGACATTGATGCCATTTTCCCGCTTCCGCCTTCCGCTCAGCGCCCATGAAGCCAACCCAGCTCTGTCGCATCAACGCGCGCACATATGAGCACCGCATCCACATATTCTGTCCACCACACGGCGACTACTTCATCAGCCCACGCACACACACACACTTCCACTACACTTCCTCCTCGACGCGCGCGAGCATGGGCGCATGTGCTACCCCCCCTCGCCCCCGTAACAGGCCCGCCGGCGCTTCAGCCTCCCAGCTCGGTCATGCGCACGCCTAACTCGGCAATTCGCCCTCCCTGCGGCAGTCAATCACCTTCCAATTTCGTTGTCTGCTTGCCGCGGCGGGGATGGGACAGGATCTCATCTGACTGGGGGGCCCACCTGATTGTAGGACCTCTTTTGGCGCTTACAGCCTCATGGACCGCCATCTCAGCCTCAGCCTCAACTTGCCTTTGACGGCCATCGCCCTCCTGGTCTTCGCCTTACAGTGCGTTCACTGCCTGTATCACCAGCTTTCGTGACTAATGAAGCATGTAGGCCGCTTGCCTCTTTTATATACACAAGATGCAAGACGTGCGCGACGCCGGAGAGCCTTTCGCAGCCCTCGACGCAGACGTAATCTTACGCTCTTCAGACAACGTCGATTTTCGGTCTTATCGTATCGCTCTGAAGTTGGCATCACCGATCTTTGAGACCATGTTCGCTCTTCCCACTCCGCAAAGAGGATCCGGCGGCGACGAGCAAAAGGACGGCATCGCGGTGGTGTGCATGGCAGAAAACGAGAAGGCTCTGCGCATGTTACTATCGCTCTGCCACGCAAACGTAGAGATGGCGCTTGACACGCTCGACGATATCGCGACAGCCGTGCAACTAGCGAGCAAGTTCGAGTTGCAAAACGCCAGAATCGCCATTCGCCTGCTATTGCGCGAGTTCGCATCCACAGATCCCGAGCGCGTCTACGCTCTGGCTTGGGCGATGCAGTCCCGAGAGCTTGTGCTCCGCGCGGCCGAGAAATCGCTGTCGTCGCCCCTCATCCTCCCGAAACGCGCCGAGACGAGCGTACCCGAGTTCCACGACATCTCTGCGCACGCTCTGCGCCAGTTAATCACCTTTCAATCTCGATGTATATTCGCCGCTTCGCGTATAGGGGAGGATCTCAGCTGGTTAAGGGCGGGACAGATCCCGGCTCGCGGGAAGGAAAAGGGGGAAGATATTGGCCGGTGCTCGAGCTGCCACGACACAAAAGTGCAGCTGAAAGAACCTACGGGCAGAGAAACTCGGATTAAGAACTGGTGGCTTGACTATCTCAAACGCGTCGGAAAGCTCTTCGAAGAGGACATCAACGCCGGCGGTGTCGTACGAAACGGGTTGCCCATTCTATTCGCTTGTGCGAGCGACGCCTCGTGTAGTGGCGGCTGTACGACTCAAGAGATCACGTCCACGCTGGTCTTAACGGCGGAGTCAGTGGTGGAAGTACGCATCAGGGAAATTGTCGAGGAGGTGAGCCTGACATAGCTTTTCGCGAGACAGCACGCTCATGTCGTCGTTAACTCCGTACAGGCTCTGCAGAAACTCGAAACGCCGTTCGGATGATGGCTCGCATTGGTGCAACAGGTCGCATCGGGAGTATTCAAGGAGGGGGTCTCGGGAAAAGGATACGTTGACTTAAGATGGGTACAACTAGTACTCGGCGGTCCATGTTTGTGATGAGAGTCGAAAGGAACTGGCTTGTTTTAGCGTGGGTGCGGCGTAAGCGCGTTTCGTCGGCGACCGGGCATCTGGTAGCTAGAGTGAGACACGTTCCCAGTGAATCGCCGCTCGCAGATCTGGACTGCGTCACGCAAGCGTTATGATAGAAGACTATCTGTATCCGAATAACTATAATGAGATATTACAAAGCTCCAATGTCCGAATGAATATTAAAATATTACAAAGCCTCAATGCCCGAATAGATAGCATGAAATATTACAAAGCCTCAAATACGGTTTCGCAACCCAGTCACTGTTTCTCTTCTGGCCTGTACGGTCACATGGCGAGGCTTGCGAGCGCACGCGGCTCATGGCCCTTGCATCGATGCATACAGCAGACGCTATGACTGCGCCAGCCAGTTGGTCAATCTCCCTATCGTCATTCAAACAAGAATACTGTCGGCAGTCATTAGTGTGAGGTTTCTTAACGTGAAAAGGCACACACCGAAGTCAGATCGCACTTCCAGCAACGGCGTTATCTTTCCCGTGGAGACGAAGACAACTCCGAGCAAACGAACATCGACGACATTGATGTATCCAGGTCCGGTGCCAAACCTCCAGCGCAGGCTTTCCCAGTGCGAGATCTTCGCATTCTCCTTTGCGGCAATCTTCACGCACCATGTCAGTCACATGCGACAAGCTCAATGGTTAAAAGGCCGCACCCGCAGGCAATGTCGAACCTTCATCGCAACGAGACACGCAAGACGCCGCACGGTGACGTTCCCGGCCATAGAGGGCAAGCGAGGACGTATCTGGCGCTCGTACGGCTTATAGTTGAGCAGCTGTAAGGGATATCGGTCAAAGGCTACACAGACCGGAGGTATATTTTCCGCTCACGTTGAGTACGACCTTGAGCGAGGATGCCGATATACGAGTGGGAGTATCCGGAAGGTTGTGAAAGTCGGCGTTCGAAGATATGCGCACACCAACGCCTCCATCTACTCCTCTGAAAAAGATGGGCACCTTGTCCGTACGCTGTAAAGAGGACCTGTTGCGGCGCGTTCCAGCGTACGGCGTGTACAGCCGGCTCGGGACGATATGAGATGGGCGGACGGCGATAATGTCGATGGTGCAGAACGGCATGAGATATCCGTTTGGTAGCTGTATCTCGGTCGTGTCGGCGTTGATCCCTGCCTGAGCTTGAAGTAGAACTGCTGAGCCAGGGGCAGGCGGCAGTCCGAGTGGGACGTAGAGATAGCTCAGGTGATGACCTAGGGGATGATAGGTGGCGAGAGCGAATTGCTTCAATCGATCCAAAGCAGCTGCGGCGCCAAATGTGCGAGCGAAGGCGCCACTTAACAAGAAGTCTTGGAGGAATAATTCGAAGGGGTCGAGCGTCGGGGACATGAGTTGTTCGACCGTCGAAGACAGAAGCCGGTGGATGTTGAAAGACATGAGATGGTCGCTTCGCAAGGATGAGAGTGTTGAGTTTCAATCGTCCCAGAGTCGGTTCTTATATACTGTCATACACGAGCGCGGAAGATGGCCCGCGACAACGCGCTACCATCTGCGCAGATGGACCAGGATTGACCGATCGACCCGGTGGTGGCGTGCAGGTTTTTGCCTCCGGACGAGGAGCTGAAGCACACAACCAGGACCCACAGCGTCATAGCAAACACTGATTGCGCAGTGCAGGCTCTAAGGACGTGAAGCAGTGCAGGTAGACCCTGAAGTGAACGTTGACGTTGAGATGTCGCTCCGGTGACTTATCGGCCGTAACCACGGCGTGTCCGTGCAATCGTCCATCAACTCCTCCATCTGGCGATACATACTAGATGTCAGACGTTGTGCTAGGCATGTCTTTGCTCTGGAAGGATTGTAATACGATAGTGGAAAGGGCTGCAGACGATACATACGCGAGCAGTGTTTCCTAGACAATGAAAGCTTCGAGACCATGGAGTAAAATTCGAATGGGTGCGTCGTGAATAATGTCGCGGGGACCGTGGTTCGTGCTGCCACGTTGTGCATGCCATCGCGTCGAGGACAGCGAAACTTTCCAGAGCGTATATGGTCGCGGGGACGATGCCCGAGACTATGCGGGCATGACGGAGAGAGACGCCGGGTAGGTTGGATTGCGTGAGGATCAAGCTGGATCAAGCAGTGCAACGCGGGGCGTGGCATATCACTATGTACAGAAAGAATGACAAGGGAATATGGAAGTCGGAAGCAAAGATGGCAAGGTTCTAGTCAAGTCCGAGCCCATATATCGGAGGATCGGGCCGGCGGCGTGAACACTTCTTGCGACCCTACTTGCCTCTTGATCGCTACACCATCTCGCATCCGCTCACGCTCACGCTCTGAAACTGCTAGTGAACCTGCGTGCATACCTCTCCAAGTATTGGAGTCCTAGCATGTTCTAGTAGAGTACTGGATATAAGAAAGAGAGGGAGGCCTTGCGGTATCAATAGTCCATCAAATATCAATTTACGCCAGGGCAGGCGGCTTGGCCAAATACAATCTCACTGCAACTCAAGCACATTCTGTGCGCTTTCTGTGAACCAAATGGCTCGAGGGAAGGAGGGAGCCGTCTGGCCAGCTCGCGGCGAGGACGTAAGTTCCCATCTGCACTTCGACGCGTTTCAGACTTCTTACCTATATACCTCTACAGCCACCCCTCCAGATATTATGCGCGCCAGTGAATCACCTACGTTCACTACCTCCTACGCAAAATGATTTTTACTCAATTTATTTTAGCTGCCAACGTCGCACATCCGACTTCACATCCCGTAGCCTCAGGGGTCAGAATGTTAACAGGTACGTAACTTGCGAAGGAGAAAGGAGGAGTCGAAGCGTTCACGCGTACAGTAATCCGAGAAGGAGTCAGAGGTCAGAGTTGCCTCCGATACCCCGAAATCAAGCTCTGTCAAAGTCGTCTTCAAACTCGTGCTCGGGGGAGGCTGGTCCGGATCCGGTGAGTTCGTTTCCGGTTGTCTCAGTAACTCGCTGTGACATGCATTCGACGCGTCAGCATATACACCCGCCCTTTCTCAACATAAGTTCTTGGCAATCATGCCTGAGATTCTTTCCGTCGTAAGTACCCACCAGCACCATGCCGGCTTCACCATCAGGGCCAGCGCAGCCTACGGTGCCATCGTCGCTTCTATGGGCGCACATCCTCCGGCGCCCGCGACCGCCAACCGCGCCACCTCCGCGCGCGAACCTAACACCGGCGGACAAGGCCAAGGCGGCAACGCGCATTCTCCTACACGACACCCAGTCCCGGCTGGAGACCTTTGCCAAGACAGCCGAAGGCCTGCTCAACGAAACGCGCCGCGGGCGCGTGGAGGTTGAGCGAGTGCGAGATGAATGCGCGGGGGCGGGGGCGGGGGAGAAGACGGGGGACGAGGTTGTCGGTGCCCGTGCGTATAGGCGCGTCTGGATTGGGTAATATGCTGACATGGCACAGTCAATCGTGTACAAGGGGCCATCACAAAAGTCGTAGGAGAACCCGCGCAGGCGAAGAACGTCGATTCGCTGGCCGCGAACGTCGCCGGACTGGGCAAGCTCGTCGACGCGCAAACGCACATTCTCACCGCCATCCAGTCGGTGCGAACACATTTTTTCGCTCTGTACAATGCACTCAATATCTATGTAGTTAATAATTTTGACAGTGTTGCGGCATACCCGAGCACCAGATTCGCTGGTGCCCGCCTCTAGATCTCAGGCCGTTACTCGCTCTGCCCGCTGCGATCGATGCGCTCTCACTCCGCCTGGCCACGAACAGAATATCTCCCATTACCAGCTCTTCGCCCCGCAGCACCACCTCAAGCGACGCACCCAGCTCGTCCGCTAGTGCCGACTCGTCCACATCGCCCAAACGCGCACACGAGCCTGCAGAGCCCCGCCAAGCGGCTGAAGTTGGATGGCGCATCGGCAGCGCGGACACCGTCACGGTCCAACGCTTCCTCGACTACCGACGCGACATTGATGCCATCTTCCCGCTTCCGCCTTCTGCTCAGCGCCCATGAAGCCGACCCAACTCCGTTGCATCAACGCGCAGGCACATACGAGCACCGCATCCACGAAGTCCGTCCACCGCACGATGATTACTTCCTCAGCCCACGCGCGCGCACACGCTTTCTCCTTGACGTGGGCAAGCATTTGCGCATGCGCTACCCCCACGTACTAGGCTCGCCGGCGCTTCAGCCTCCTAGCTTGGTCATACGCGCGCCTAACTCGGCAATTTGCCCTCCCTGCGCCAGTTGGCCACCTCCCAATTCCATTGCTCATCCATAGCGTTGAGGATGGGAGACGATTCAGCTGGCTAAATGTGGAACTCCGCCTCGGGAGGAGGAAAAGGGGGACGTATGGTGGCTTGTGCTTGAGTCGTTACGAAACAAAAGGTGCAGCCGAAGGAATTTACCGACAGGGCAACTCGGATTGTGGACTGGCAGCTGGACTATCCCAAACACTTTGGTCGAGTTGAAAGTTAAACTTTCCACAAGTCTAATCGGGCGGTCCAAGCAGAGGCATTCACGTGCGCCGCGCGCACGCCTACGGCCACACCGCGCTGTGGCCCCCGATGGCTCCGCCGAGCTCTTTGTCCCCTCCGCTGAGGGAAGAGGACAATGCACATACCAAGTGGTCTGGTCCGGCAGCACCTGCGACAGTGTTCGCCGAGGGGTGTTGCCATGGACGTCGCAAACCACTGGCGAAGGGTATAAAGTAGACGAGCGAGGCTCGTCGAGCACCCAAACTCGTCTGCTCCCTCGCCAGGTTAGTATTCGCTCCTCCTTGACTCCGCTGAGTCTGAAGCTGACGACGCTCGTCTGCTCCCTCGCCAGAACCTCCCTCGCACTCGCTGTAGTCATATTTTTGTCTATACTAGTCTCTCCGATCCCATCTACATATCATCGATACTTATGGCGAATGTCGTCGCAATCCAAGCCGCGATTGCCCAAGAAGCCCAGGCAGTACTCGACTACATCGAGCGCCGCGAGATTACCCCCTCGCAAGCCACCCGCCGTATCCTCGACATCGCCGACCGTCACACCAACCGTCGGGCTGATGTCACCCCCGACCAGTACGATACAGTCGTCAAATGGTACCTTGAAACCATTGACCGGGTGGTGGCACAACACCATGAAGCCGACCAACGCGCCCGTGAACGTGAGCGCGCAGCATCGCCCCGGCGCGAACGCGCACGCAGCCGGGCGCGCACCCCGTCCCCCGGGCCAGAACCTGCGGATCCGCGCGGACGCAAACGCGCAAGAAGTGCCTCCCCGGGTTCCGATGCAGGAGCAGACGTGCGGACTACCAAGCTCGAGTTCTCGTATGCCCAGCTCCCCTTCGGTCGGGCCGCAGGAAAGCTCGCGCGCGCTTTCGAGGATCCGCACCTCCAGAAGACCTATCAGCTCAAGGCCAACTATCTCGCAGACCTCGCCGCGGCCCGTATCGAGCTCTTCCTCGACCCCGATACCCCGCCTCTGCCCGAGCAGCTCTGGAACAACATCCTGCGCAACCAGTATGTCGACCTCGACTCCATTTTCACCGGGTATTACGCCACCAACGGTGATGCCCGCGGCACCGAGAAGCTCGGGGACTTCGAGGTGGTCTCGCAGAGCAGCAAACCCAGTCGCCGCGTCACCACGCAAAGTGATTGGATCCTCGCCTTCGAGCTGTACCGCGAGGCGGTCGTCCACGCCTACCCACACCGCAGGGGCGAGCTCTCAACATACCAACGCTACGTCTCCCGCCTTTTCGCGGCCACGCCAGGATACCCCGAGCGCGTCATCTCGTTCGACCGCGCGGTTCGCACCCGGTCCGGACGGGACAGCAGCCTCCTTCTCTCCAACAACTCCAGCTTCGACGACCTCCTCACGCTGCACGTCACCGGACCTAGCGCGGGAGGCTCATCTTCGCGCAACGCTCCAAAGCCGCAAGCACGCGGCAGCGGAAGCGGCAGTGGCAGCAGCGGGGGACGCAACCCCGAACCCTGCATCCGACACAACGAGGGCCGGTGCAATAACGGCAGCAACTGTCGCTACGCCCACGTCTGCTCGGATTGTCGATCCAACCGCCACGTCGCGTCCGACTGTAAGGGCAAGGACCGTCGGGATTGAAGATGCCCGCCTGGGCACTAAAAGGCTCGCGGAAGACGAAATCGACAACCGCGGGCCGCGCCTGTTCCGCCGGTTCTTGTGGGAGCAAGACTCCTCCCTTGCCGCGTACCGCACCCCCTGCGCCTCGGCAACCGAGACAGCAGACCCGCTGCCGTCGCCACCCCTAGAGGTCCTGAACGATCCGGTGGCTCGCGGCACCATAGAGAGGAACCCGCACTTGTTCGCCATTGTCACCCCGATTCATGTGCCCGCCTTCGAACGTGCTTTGCGCACGCACCCTAATCGACCCTTCGTGGATTCCGTCATCCGAGGGTTGAAGGAGGGATTCTGGCCGCATACGGAGGGTTACGACCAGCGGCCGCTCACCCGCGACTACCCGCAACACGAGCTCGCGCCGAAAGAGCTCGCCTTCGCCAAAGCACAGGCTCAAGCCGAGGAAGACGCCCTACGGTTCTCCCCCCCATTCGACGACCTTGAACCAGGCATGATCAATGTGCCGGTTCACGTCGTCCCCAAGAAAGCCGCCAACTCGTTCCGCCTTGTCGTCGACCATTCCCTGGGCGAATTCGCGCCGAACTCGTTCATACCCAAACACGCCGGCCGCGCCGTACTCGACAGTGTCCAGGATCTGGGCCACAATATGCTCACCTTCCGAAAGCACTACGGAGGCCTACCGTTGCGCCTCTTCAAATCCGACGTCGCCAAAGCATACCGCTGCATGCCGATGCACCCATTCTGGCAGATCGGGCAGGTGGTCACCATCGATGGACGAAGACGTGTCGACCGCTGCAACAATTTCGGCGGGCGCGAATCCGGTGTCATTTTTGGCGCCTTCATGGGACTGGTCCTGTGGATCGCTCGTGAGCGTGGCATCGAAGCCCTGAATGCTTTCGTCGACGACAACTTCTCCTTTGATGCCTCGGGCGAACTTGAGTGGTATGCACCGTACAAGGCCTATTTCCCGCCCAAGCAAGTTGCCCTCTTGCGATTGTGGGACGAACTGGGCATACCTCACGAGTTCCCCAAGCAGGAGCATGGCTCCGCGCTGCCCATCACCGGCATTCTGGTCGACGCAGAAGCTATGACCCTGTCGCTCGACGCCGAAGCACGGTGCGACTTCGCAGCAGCCGTCACGTCCTTCCTCGCCACACCCTCGCGCGCCCCTCCCCTTGTTGCCTGGGAAAGACTGATCGGCTGGGCCAACTGGGCTATCAACGTCGCCCCACTCCTCAGGCCCGCTCTATCATCCTCCTATGCAAAGACCAGCGGCAAGACACACCGCAACGCCCCAGTCCCTATCAACAGTTCCGTGGCTCGAGATCTCCGGTGGCTAGCCGATACCCTGACCTCCCCTCGCTGGGATGGCATCTCGCTCGTCACGGCCCGCCTCTGGTCCCCCGAGCAGGCGGATCTCGTATTGTACTGCGACGCCTCCACGTCTGTCGGTATGGGTTTCTGGTGCCCGAGCAGAAATTTGGGTTTTGCGGCGGAAAATGAACCCGCCCCCGCAGGCGCGGAGACCATCTTCTGGTTCGAAGCTCTCACTGTACTGCGCGCTCTCGCATGGGCGGGTCGCGAGCGGTCGCCGCCCACGCGCCTTGCTATCTACACCGACAATCTCAACTCAGTGCAAATCTTCAACTCATTCAAGGCAACTGGCGCATACAACGACATTCTGCTTCTCGCCGCCCAAATCCTCCTCGAAACACGCATCGACCTGCGCGTCTTCCACGTACCCGGTGTTCACAACACTGTCGCCGACTGCCTCTCGCGCGGTCTCTTCGAAACTGCCCTGGGCCATGCCCCCTACCTCCGCATTCACGCGATTCCAACCCCACGACGCACGCTGGGGGTGGCGTCATGTTAGGCCCGGAACGCACTGCGCCCTCTCGTTCACGCCACCAGCGCGAGCCGTGGACGAGGGAGCGCCTGCTCCACGCGCGCGCAGTCGCGCTTGGAGCTGTCATCGAACCCACCACGCGTTCGTCATACACCTCCGCTCTAAACTCCTGGATCACCTTCTGCCGCCTCAACAACTTCTCAACTCAACCTGATGCCGACTCCCTCTCCATGTACGTCGCCTACGAATGCCACTACGTGCAACCGAAATCGGTCGAATCCTACCTGTCCGGCATCTGCAACCAACTCGAGATGTGTCATCCCGAGGTCCACGCCCTCCGCCGCCACCCCCTCGTCACCCGCACCCTTGCCGGTTGCAAAAAGCTATTCAGTAAGCCCACGCAACGAAAAGCCGCCCTCACAGTCGACAACCTTGAGCACGCCGCCGCACAACTCACACAGTCTTACGACGACAAACTTTTCCTCGCGATGCTATACACTGGCTTTTTCGGTCTGCACCGCCTCGCCGAACTCACCGACCACGACAAGCCAGCTTTTCGCTCATATCGCAAGACGATCATGCGCGCCACAGTCCGCATCGAAGGCGATGCCTACACGTACCTGTTGCCCGGACACAAGGCCGACCGGTTCTACGAAGGGAACACCGTACGCATCACTCGCCAGCAACGCGGCCCGGACCCATACGCCGTGTTCAGCGGCTACGTCGCCGCTCGTGACCAATCTCGAAACGCGCTGCACCCCGCGCTCTGGGTGAATGCCGGCGGTGATGTCCCCACGCGTTCTTGGTTCACAACGAGGCTCAAGCGACTCTTTCCCGATGCGACCATCGGCGGCCACTCCATGCGACCAGGCGGCGCTACCTTCTACGCCGTCGACGGGATGCCCGGCGAATACATCCAGGTGCTCGGACGTTGGTCGTCCGATGCCTTCCAGATGTACATCAGGAAGCACCCCGTCGTTCTCCACGCCCTCCTGCAAGCCCGGCGCGAGGAGAACGCCGGCCAACACCGTGCATGACGAAACCGCGTCCCGCGCTATCACCACCGCACTTCCGCTCACGACCTCGTTCCCGACAATCTCCTTCACCACCATCCTCCCTTTCCACCTCCTCTTTCCTACACCTCTCTCTTAGAGTGGAACTCGGCCGAGCGGAAATCTCATGCAGGCGGCCTTCGGGCCGCCGTTCCGGCGTACTCTCACTGTGTCGCGAACCCCACCGTACACGCGCGAACCAGCCCGATTAGAAATCTTTTTGAAGAGAGCATCAACGTCGGCGACATCGTGCGGATCGGGCTACCTGTTCTGTTCGCTTGTGCAAACGACGGCTCATGTGATGGTGACTGTACGGCTCGCGAGATAATGTCTACGCTGGCCTCAGCACCGGAGATAGTTGTGGAAGTACGCATCAGAGAGATTGTCGAGGAAGTGAGTCTTCCATTGCGCTTTGCGAGACTGTACGCTCATACCGCCGTCCACTCCCTGCAGGCCCTTCAGAAACTGGAAACTCCATTCAAATGATGGCTTGCATCGGTGTATCAGATTGCACCGGACGTATGCAAGGAGTTCAGCGTCTCGGGAAGGGGGTACGTAGAATTAGAAGGGGTACAGCGAGTACTGGGTGACACTGGCCCAAGGCTGTGATGAGGTCAAGAGAACTGAACTGCTACAGCGAAGGGTTGAGAAGACTTGTATCTCTCACGTTCTCATCTGCCATTTGATCACTCATCGCATAGATAAGGCAATTGTACATGAATGACATGACGCGGTGCGCGATTGATGCGCAATGCTCATCGCGTTGGACGTCGGTCGCAAGACGCTGACAGGCTGTGCGGCGTGGGCTAAGTTGGTAACGCGGTCACATGATATGATGGGAACGCGTCCGGCGTCCGCAAGTGGACTGCAACTCGCGAGGAGGCGCAGACTGATACACGCGTAAGGTCTGAGCTAAGGCCTATGGTACCATAGAACACAATGCATACCCAAGCGAGCGCGATTATATGGCACGTGCATCGATACATACAGAAGGGCCGCACGCTGTCTTTTAATTAGAATTTACATATAGGATAAACGGAAATCAATTGGCGAGGCTAAGGCCCACCCTACTATCGTCATTAAAGCAAGAAAACTGCCGGCAGCATCAGTGTAAGCTTCTATATGACGGGAAAGAACGTACCGAAGTCAGACCGCACTTCCAGCAACGGTGTTATCTTGCCCGTCGAAACGAAAACGACTCCGAGAAGACGAACATTGTTGGGTTTCCGACGGTCAGCTTCGACTCAATGCCCTTGTGAGGGCGTCTATTGTACCAGCTACTCTATGTAGTGTACAATATGGTCGTGTTCTCTGTGTATCGTCTCCGAAACGAGTCCTTCGAGCTCTGTCCTTATATAC